ATTGGAGAAGGGACATTTGAACAATTTGTACAGAGCTTTGCATAAATCGGGTATAAAGCCATAATGAAATTGAGTCGAAACACACCTTTTCAGTTGTCTCTTGGTCTCTGCCAGTAGGCGGTGATGGGGTGAAAATCTAAATTTTTCATTCCTCCAAGGCCTTTCTTTCAGGGGATTCTCAAGATTTAAATCGTCAAGATTCGAAACAAAATCCTAGTGAGTCACCCTTTTCCCTGTCCTTTCTTTCCCCTTTCTTTCCCCGCTCACCGGCCTCTTGCCAAAGCTTAATAGCCAAAGCTTAATAGCCAAAGCTAGTATAGGTCAACTAATCTAAATTTCTTGGATATCTTGTACTTCAAAGCTAGTGTATGTTTAAAAATTTTAAGATATTCATTCAGTTAGACAACAAAGTATTTGGTGAGCTAAGGATGATGTCTATTGAAATGTTTAACGGTAAATAGAATAGACCTTTTGTGTATAATTGAAACATCAAGAAAAACGTGAGGCTTTTAAAAATGAGAAGATAGAGTTGTGTCGATAATTACCCTTGTTTAGGGCCAAAGAATATGTGTAATTATCTTGGCGGAAAAGTGGAGGTAATTTCGAGGTTTCAAGAAAGATTTATTGTTATTGTGATACCCCGATAAGCAATTAAAGATCGGAAAATAAACCTGGCAAATAGAATGAACGAATAAAATGAGTTTTGTAGTGACGTGAGCAGCTATCTTTTTGATAATACTTATAATTCGTGCATTATGTAATCTTTCTATCTTTTTTAACTCTTAACGAGTCTGCATTTGGATGAGGTTGTTGTATATAGAAAACTGTGTAAACTTTTTATTTCAAAGGCAACTTGTGCGATAAAATAAACTTTCTGATCGAGAGTTCCCATTTTCGAGAGTTCCCGAGAACTTTTTCTCCTCGAAACGCCGAAATTCCTCGTCCAATTCTTGAAAGAAACTGAATTCACCCTTGAAAAATAAGGAATTTTTCAACAACGTCATCCTCGATTCATTTTCTTGTAACACTCTGGAGAAGCTTCAAAACACTGTTTCTTGTCAATTGTATTGTTTGGTTTGCAAAGCAAGCGGTGGTTGGCTTATAAGCAATCTTTCGGATGCGATCTGCGGAAGGATTGCCCAGCAGGGCCGCTAGGATTCGATGCGAGCCTAGCCCCGAGCCATTTGAGCTCCAAGGACGCCGCACCCAACTAACTGAATCCCATGACAATTACTCGACCTTGCCATTCCTTTTGGACTTTCAGTTTATTCGATTTGTGTGAGAATGGCAACCACGCTTTCCCGGAGATTGTTTTTGTATGACTCAAAGGTGCACAAATTAATGTTTACAAAGCCAGGCATTTTGTATGACGATTAATCATTGAATCTTCAAAAAGTTGATGTTTTATATCACAAGAAGTAGATTTTACTGCTTTTGTTGGAATTGAAAAATAAAATTATGATGAAAACGTAAAATACTTGATAATATAACATTTTCAATCGCTGACCGCTTGTGCCCAAAAAAATAGCTGAAAATTCGTTTTAATAGCATTTTTCTTCTATTTTCAAAACATAAAAAGAGTTTTCAAAAATGTTTATGTGCATTGCATTTCAATAAATAGCCGTTTCTCATTTTTACACTTTTTGCCTCTTGACTAAAAGAAGAGGAGACGATTTTTCTTGTTGTCTGACTAGATGCGACTAAAATTTCGCTATTTTAAGCACAATCAATATCGCCACACGAAAAAAGGCACTAAGTTTGCGTTTTCTTTGCGTTTGCGTTTTCTCACTAATTAGTTTTTATTCAAGAATCAAATCAACCAAACGATGAAAGAAATTGGTAGTGGAGGTTTTTCGAGCGTTTTCCTTCTCGATGACCGCGAACCGTGAGTAATTTTTGGTAGAATGTACAGTACGTTGCAAAATGATAGGACCACCCTCGATTTTTGCGACTTTTGATTTTAAATAACTAAAAATTTCTTAAGAACCAAACCATCGATTCTTCTGAAATTTTTTACTCAAAAATTGAATAAACTTTGAGAATTAATTGCCAAAAAATCAGAACCAGCTTCTGGTATCATTTTGAAGATTTCGCCGATTTTAGTGTCTCAAGTCACTTTTTGAGTGTTTGCCTTCAAATAAACTTTTTGTGGTCAAAATTTTAGAAATTGAACTAAACTTAAAAACAAATATTAACGTAAAAATGAACAAAAATTTCTAATGGAACCAAATTTTAACCGAAGCTTTAGTTTTCAAGAAAGCCTCTTTCTTATGCAATGTCAGGGAAAGTGGTTTTAAGAAAAATACAATTTTTAAACCATGTGAACCCCCTTATCTAATTTTTCGAGGGGTCCGGGGATGGGGTAGGGAAAAAAAATCGAAGCCCCGGGGCTTTAATTACAGTATTTACGGTATCTTTATTAGCGGTATTAGCCATGAACTTTTGAAAAATAAGCTCAGTTTAAAAAGTAGACTTTTTTGAGTTTTCCATTTTCTCCCTGACATCGCATAAGAAAGAGGCTTTTTTGAAAACTAAAGCTTCGGTTAAAATTTGGTTCCATTAGAAATATTTGTTCATTTTTACGTTAATATTTGTTTTTAAGTTTATGTCAATTTCTAAAATTTTGACCACAAAAAGTTTATTTGAAGGCAAACACTCAAAAAGACACTTTTTTGGAAACTAAAGCTTCGGTTAAAATTTGGTGAAATCTTCAAAATGATACCAGAAGCTGGTTCTGATTTTTTGCCAATAAATTCTCAAAGTTTATTCAATTTTTGAGTAAAAAAAATTTCAGAAGAATCGATGGTTTGGTTCTTAAGAAATTTTTAGTTATTTAAAATCAAAAGTCGCAAAAATCGAGGGTGGTCCTATCATTTTGCAACGTACCGTAGAGAGGGCTAGGGGCTGACTAGGCGTGAAAACGGTTTCAAATCAATTCAAAAAAAGTGCAAAAGAAATTTGAAAATCAAATGCCAGAAGAGGAATTGAGCCCGCAACTAACCTCACCGGGCGTCGCTTTTTTTGTGGCAGATCGGAGCGGATCCCCGGAAAACACCCGGGCTCACCACGATAATCGATTGAAATAGGGAGGAGATTTAAAGGGACCAAGAGGAGAACTTCGCTCAGAAAGTGGTGCAAAGCTATGTAAATTTCAGCCCTCTTTTGAACATTCATTTTTTTGTTTTTTTATGCTCATACATACATACAAATAGAGACCAAGAGAGAAAATGTCCGCTTAGGCCAGAAAGTGATGCATTTGATCGGTAAATTGAATTCCCAATACTATTGGGTTCACTAAACTCACAACACGTAACAAACGCAAATTGCAGTGTTTATTTTTGAGCTTTTTTAGCTCCGGGTCCTTTAACTTTTATTTGTCTCTCTATGCTTCTAACCCAAATTTAGTCCGATCACGATGAAAGAGAACCTTGAAGATCAGTCAAAAGAGATGAGAATCTTGAAGGAATTGGTCCATTCAAATATTGTTCGCTTCATCGATCAACCACTCGATTTCGAATATCTTGGAAAGAAATTCCCGATATTTATGGAGTACTGTGAAGAGGGATCGCTGAGTAATGGTCGACTTTCGATCTTGTTTTTATCGTTTATTTTCTCAATTTTAGTGATCTTTGATGTGACCATCAATTATTCGGTGTCCACTCTCATGAAATGGACACGCGAGATTCTTTGTGCTTTAGTTTATCTCAAATCGAATCGAATTGCCCACCGAGATGTGAAGAGTAAAAAGTTGGGTTTGGGGGTTTAGAAAATAGAAATAGAAATATTGGATCGGATTTTATTGGATCGGATCAGAAACCAATCAATTTAATCAGAATTTGGAACATTTCGATGTTTCACTCGGATTTTATTATTTAAATACCCTAAAGTCGCGAGTATAAGTTCTGTTTGGTTTTCGCATGCAAATTGACGGCTGTCTCCGGTGCGGTGTGTCGAGGGTTCGAACCGCGCTGCAGCATAACTTTTTTGCTTTTTAAGAACCATAATAGAAGTAAATTTATTGAGGGTTATAGCAATTTTATGCTGTTATTTGTTGCTCCGGGCGTGGCTCGGCGCCTCCGCCTTGCTCCTCTCCGGTGCTCATGGATCCCTCCCTGGCCTCTTCATCCGGCCAAAGTCCACGTCGACGGTCGAAAGAGATGCTTTCCAGCGTCTTCTTCAACACTATCGTCTGGATGTATCCATGCACATAACAAATAGCAATGGTGATAGGCTGTCACCCTGTAGTATCCCGCGCTCCAAGAACAATAATAAAAGTTTATATGTCGTAGCCGATTATGAATTTCAGCCGATTATGAATGAGCGGGTCCGGACGCGTCCGACCATCAAGTATTTGGTATCATTCAACGCAGAATCATTAAAATTATGAAATTTTAAATAGAAAGGATAAAAGAAAAAAATTATGGGGCCTCAAAGTTTCCTCTGAACAAACAGTTTTTGCTCTTTTTTTTCCTTTTATCATCTCTATTTAAAAATTTAACATATAATGTCTCGTGTGGGTGATACCAAATACTTGATGGTTGGCCTAGACCCACCCACATAATCGGCTACGGGGTCCCGCCCATTTTGATGAAACGTTGTAGCGCCGGTAATTTTTAACCTAAACTCACAAATTTGGTTCCAATCGACGCAGAATTTAATTCTCTACAGGATGATATAATATTGTCCTCATAGATTAAAGGGTTGCTCTACTAGAAAGATTTACCAAAAAATATCATTCATAATCGGCTACGATATAACAATAAAAACCCAACAAAAAGAAATTCAAAGCAATTAAAGCGAATGTAAATTAAGGCAGAACTTATACTCGAGACTTTAGGGTAATCAATCCGAATTGAAACTTTTGGGTCATCGATCCGATCGAATAAATTTTGCGAATCGATTATATAACAGAGAATTCTTCTAGCATATTTGTGACGAGGGATTTCGATCTAAAACTCGGAGATTTTGGAGTTTTCAAAGGGTTTAATGGTGAAAATGAGATGACGAATGATTGGGTCGGAACGCCGAGTCATATGGCTCCCGAGCTTCACATGGATATGAGTTTGAGTGAACAGGTGACACTTTAGATTCGGTCTGCGAAGTTTCAACTTTTTAATGCATATTTTGTCAGGACATTTATCAATGCGATGTCTTTGCGACCGGCTTGGTGCTCTGGGAGATTGCAATGAGAAAGTGAGAGCTGACTGATTAACTGGTTAGAGCTGGCTAGAACTAATGAACATTCTCGAATGTGAACTCGTTGAGAGGTTTAGCAGACTGAGTAAAAACAAGCTAATAGTTTTTTTTTGTAAAAGCTTTTAGATAAAAGATTGGATTGAGTATTTTAAGATTCGTGTATACAAAAATTTTTAGGAGCATCTCAAATCTGAGGTCTGTTTTGCACTTTTCAAAAACAACCTCATCGGACGTGAGAAAGGTGTTTGATTTCATTGAGCGGTTCGTTTCAATTTAACCGAACACTTTATATTTTACAGATTTAGATGCTCATCTCCACAAATACCCATCAAGATACGAATGACGGCTGAAAATGCCCTGAATGAGGCTGTTTCCTTGGAAAAGGTTTTTGAAAAAGTGTTCAATTGTGTATTTAAGTATTCTTTAGAAATTCACCTCTTTTATTTCACAACCCGAAAAAGTGCGTAGCCAGGAGTCATTCAAAGTCCCGACAATCGTTGATGGTTTATGTCTCGAATTGACAACGACATACAATGTTCCGGACGCGATTTTCGATTTCGAAACAAGAAATAGTGAAAGAAATTCAAAAATAAGTAAACCTCTCAACGAGTTCACATTCGAGAATCAGTTTAATCAGTGGATTTCACGAGCTGAAAGAAGCACAACCTTTCGAAATATTTTTGGATCAGAAAGTGACGATTTAATTACTTACCCACGCCATTTTATCATTCTTCCTGAGCCATTCGAAATTTGGTTTGAAAAATCGAATGTAGGAGATGTAAATGGGATACGTGAAAAGTTGCGAAAAAAATTTCTGGATGCGGTCAATGAGCTGAATATCCAAGAAAAAGAAACTCTCTTGCCCCATCTGAAAGAAATGTACAATGTTTTCCCCAAAAGAGATCCAATTGAGTGGTTCTACAATGGTTACATCGAAGAGCACAGTCCGGAAGAGCCAATTCTCTCAATTCTTGAACACTATGCGAAACTCTTGTATTTCGATTTCGCTTTACAAGACTTTTGCTACGAGTTCTCCTTGCACGTGCTGTGGAAAAGTGAATCGGTTGGATTTTCGTGGAGGGAATTGTTGGATCTGCTGCAGGTGGCTATAGAGAACATCGAATCACTTGAACATATCTATGCAAGACGTCGACAGTATCAGCTAGTCTACTATCCGGGATCTCGGTCCGAATGGTGTGACGCATATGGACTGACATTCTCCAAGGATCTCCGGGAAATCCGGGAAAAAGATTACTTCAGCGGGAAAGGCGGAAAGGTTGACCTTTTCCCCGTGGATCTCGAAGTAATTCGGCGTGCTTTGCATACCAAGAGAAATGACGTTAGTCGATTACATCCATATGAGAAAAAAAAGGAGAGAGAGAAGATTTACAAATATTTGTTAGACGGAGGTAGGCAAGAAGTAGGCGGGTATGATTTCGGACGTCCCCGGAAACGAGCACTAGAACGGTCGATCCCTCGATCGGAATTGGAATTACTTCTTAAAGCTTTATTGATTGGAGGGGAAAGCCGATTTCCCGGACACATTTACTCGATAAGTCAAATAGCGATGAGAACTGAGAACACGAGATGTCATTGTGAATTGACATGTGAGAAAAGATATCTCGCGAAAACTAGCGTCCTTTATGAGATTGGTTTACAATATATTTTATGCAAGCAAAGACGATATGAGATTCCTGAAGAGGAGCAAACAATTGAAGCTCTCCTCCAAATCGAAAAAGCCATCATCGAAAAGGGAAGCTTTTCAGGAGTTCAACGAGAGGCGGCAGGAGTTTCAGGAGGCCTGGAAATGCCTTAAGCGATTCCCTGGGCTCATCTGGGAAACCACTATGAAATATTCAATTGTATCCAACTGTGACTGTAGCCCTCCATGTGAACTCGAAAAAATCCCAAAATATGCTCCCAATGAGGAAATCCAGATCGAATACTCGACATGTTCTAAATTAAATCAAAAAGAATTTTTGGAGACCCATTCACTATTTGAGAGAGCGTTTCGCTTTTTGAATGAGTGGGAAAAGATCACATTCTCTCGAATCACTCATCTCTATTTGGTGGAGGACTTGTTGAGGGAAATTGATGAGAAAAGCGATCCATCATACGGTTTCTGTTTCATGCAAATGCAACAAGGAGACTATATGAAAGCTACGAGAGGGCCATATATGTGTGATCATATGCTCCCAAGTGGTCGATCAGGTCTTTTGTTGAATTTGGATTACGATTACCAGATGTCCTTTTGGAATCGGGACTTTTCTTTTGGAGATTCATGCAATTATTGTATCACTGAATTTATTGGATTGACTTATATTCGAATTGGCGAACTTGGCGATACACTCCGAATCATGCAGCGACACTTGAGGAAATATTGGAATTCAAGTCAATTTTTTCTCGGTTATACCATTTACAGTGTCAAATTTTAGTGCAAAATTTCATGATGCCTCCGCTTATTAACTTCCTTTCCGATTGCGCAAAGGGATACAAAAAAGAGATGCAAATGGCTATGAAAGAGTTTTGGGAGATTCATTGAATAAAAATCGAAATTTCTTTCGTGATAAATTCGTGCCTGCTCACCTCTTTCACCTCTCTCGTGCATTTTCATTTCGTCTTGATCATTTTCGTGACAAAATTAATGGTTTGTCATACAAAAAAATAACATTCATAAAAGCAATCTTTTCCCATGTTTTGTTCCCGTTCTCTTTTCGGTTTTGGTTTTCGAATTTCCGATGAGAGATTTCAATCTTTTACGGAAAAATAGTGTATTAGATGTACTATTGGGTTGGTGGAAAAGTTCTTTCCGGATTTTTTGGGAGAGTACCTTAAATTTGTCCAATTAAGACGTTTTATAGCTCATCCTAAAGCTGAATTCAAGACGGATCGGTTGGTAAAAACCGTTTTGGGATATCTCTTTTCTAAATTTTTTTACAGCTATTTTCGTAAAGGGCTGCAAAAGATCTCATCGTCAGCTACATTTTCCGACCCCACATCGATAGGTTCTGGTAAGCGGTTCTCGAGATTTCAAGCAATTTAGGCGATGCCCAGGGTGCACTACTATTAGAGAAAATACAGTATGTTCAATGATTGTTAATAGATTTTTAAAGTATCTATAAAAAATGTGGTAGAGCTTTTTAATACAATTTAATCTTGAATTAAGATGATTTTATACACCTTCAGGAGACTTGACTCATTCGATCAACCATCATCCTGAAACATCAGTTTATATTTTGTGCTAAGAGTGTAGAACTAGCGTAATAAAACGAAGTATTTCGAAGAAAACCACGAAAGAAACAGTTTCAACTCTCGGACTTCTAAATACATTTTTTCATTGCTTTCTTTTGTTATTGATCATAATTTTTGCGAAGTTTATGAAAATAAATAACAAGGTTTACAAAAAGCGACACATTTCGTGTAGAGATCGATCACCTAAGCCGCCCTCGGCGCGGGAGCGCTTGTCGTTAGATATATGAAAAATGATTTAATCAAAATTTTCGAGTATTTTGAAAGATTTATTCCAACAAGTATTTTAAGAGTTTCGCAAGGCCTTATCAAGTGATGAACCGTTTTTTAGAGAAGAAAAGTGGCCTGATAATAAAATTATATTGAACAACAAAAAGTTCGAAAAAAAAAAACTGAAAACAAACGGGGTTTTTGAGTCACCTTTTCAACGAAACAAAGAGTCTTGCATAAGAAATTTGGTCTCTATTTAAAGCTTTGCTTTCGAACATTTCACAATCATAGTTTCTTAAAAACTTGCTTTCTTTTTTCTTTTGAATCAACTAAGAAATCTTTTTAAATGTTTAAAGTTAAAGGAAATCTTTTAAGTATTTAAATAAATCTAATTTTCACATTTAATTTTTTTCTGTCGTCATTTTGAAATACAAAGTATGCTTGATTTGTGGGAAACGATAGAGTTTTAAAATTTTAGAGATGAGCAAAGATAGTCAATTGAGTCGACTGAGTGACAAAGAGGTTTTTGCCCACACGATTTATGGAGAGGCTCGGGATCAGAAAAAGAAAGTTGGACTGCCTGGATGGACTTGGCCCGCATGGGTGATCAAGAATCGCGCACGCTACAATGAAGGATATTGGTTTGTGTGAGAGGAACTCTATGCAAGCCAAAAAATCATTAGGGGTGGTGATTCGATTCGACGTGTCTGCCTGCATCCGGGTCAATTCGAATGCTGGAATGATGGAATTTGGCAAAAATGGATCCCAATTAAAGAGAAAAGGACTTATGAAGAGTTAGTTGCAAAGATAACCCAGGAAAATCGCTACTAGGCTTCATTTACGAGTTCGGATCCGGATAATCAAATTTTGAATTTTCTGAAATGAAACAAATCTTTTTTAAGTCATCCTGTAATTGAAAAGAGTCGAAGTTTTATGGGATTGAAGTTGGGTAAATCTTATCAATCTTATCAAGCTTCTCAATTTTAGCATTCGTCGAGTGACCGATCAAATTTTCGATCAACGGTGGAGTCCCCAAGCCGATCCCACTCACGGTTCCGATCACTATCACAATCCGGAAAATGAGAAGAGACCGTCCTGGGTTGGCAAATGTGCTCATGTAGATAGAATTGGTGACCACGTCTTTTATCGGAGTAAAGTCGGCTCTGAATTTTTAAAGAATTATAAATTCTGGTTGAATAAATAAACAAATGGATAAAGAAGTTTTTATTTCTGATTAAGTAAATGACATTTGAATTTATTCTTATTCTTCTGGCAAAACTTTTGAGTGATCGATAATAGATCTATTTTCAAAAAGAATAAAGAAAAGTACTACTTATAGTATTAAACAGATGCAAATCTTATACCATACCATAGAGTGAATACAATCTATTTATAATTTTTTAAAAAACATCTTAAAGTCTGGGCTAATTTTGTTTTTACAATCACAGCTTCACATAGTGGAATGCAAGGGATTCAGACATTTCGCTATATGGAGCTTTCCGCTCCAGAGAAAACCCAAGAGCCGATTGAAAAAGCAACATTGAAGAACTGTGTTGTGCTGAAAGAGCTGGAGAACGGATACACGAGACTTTCGTTAGAAGTCAATTTGAAAACAAAATGAGCTTTGAAAATGAAAAATTTCGCTATATAGAGACTTTTGGCACTTTTGACTTTTGTCCAAATCACTTTATTGCAACAAAAATGCAGAATTTTAAACGTCAAATAGGTGACAAATTCCAATCGAAAACCCTCATCACAACAAGCAAATAGTGATTTCCCTTCTCGTGATCCAATTCCAAATTCTAATTCCAATCTCCATCAAAAGACAAACTTTTCTTTCATTTAAATCCTTCTCGAAACATCTCATTTGCGAAAATTCGTTTTCAAAATCGATTTTTTTATTTCTATAATGCCTCAGACACTTATCATGTTTCTCCAAGCATTTCTCCAAAAATCCGACATCAAAACTTTTCGAGAATTTTTGAGTGAAAAACTCAAAAACCCAAAAAGCCTCCAACGAATCCTCATCAAGCTCATCGAAATATTCACTTATTAAAGCCTCAGTTTTTCTAAAATATTTCAAAATTTCCTCTATTGACTCAAAACGATCCATCGAGAATCGGAGGCAACAAGTCGGATTCGAAAAACTGCTCGGAATCTCATTTTCGAGCAGTTTCTCTAAAAATTTCTTGAATTTCGACTCCCAAAATTCCTCTATAAAAACAAATTGAATCATTTTCAGATAAAGTCCTATAATAGTACTCAAGCAATTGGAGATATAATTTTGCAGGTTTTCAAATATTTTGCAATCTTTCATCATACTCCTCACACGGATTGTAGAGGAACCATCGATTTTCCCGGATCATCAACGAGTTCTCAATTTGCACTCTAAATCCTTCGAAAAACTTTAAAATATTATCACTTGATTCTCGAATTTTCAGATTCTCAATCGGTTCTGAGAAAATGCGATCAAAATTTGCATTTTTGACCATCAAACCCAAATAGGTTGGCCCGAAAATTCGGTCCTCTTTGTACTCCAAATCAACATAATACGATTTGCAATTCAGATTTTTTCGAATCAAGAATACAATTGATATTGCAAATGTAAATCTAAAGATTATCGCCAATTTCCGATCTCGATTTGCACATCAGATTTAATCGAGATTTTCAGAATATCACCTTGAAAATCGACTTGCTCTCCTGACTATTTTTGACCGAAAATGTTTAAGACTAATAGTCAGTTGAAATCTTTCAGCGACGTCTTTTTCTTTGACTTATTGCAAAGGTACGATTTATTAAGATGAGATTAAAATGATAGAAATGGAAGATAATAAGATGAAAAGGAATGTGCAGAATGTCTTTGAGTAAGAAAAAAGGGAATGTTTTTGTTGTTTGAGCATAGGAATCCATAGAAATCCATGGAAAAAAATGATTTTAAAAACCATCATATCAAAAACCGGCTTTATAAAATCTTGAATAGCTAAGAGAATAACAGAAAAATGTAATTTAATATATCTTTTAACTAGGCAATGAAACTCTAAACGTTTAGCCTCATCAAGATAGTTTCTTCGAAAATGAAAAGAGCGATCCATCGAGAAAAGCGTAGTTCTTCTCGTTCCAATTGACGATTCGTTCTTCTCGTTCGGTAGCTTAAAGGAAATTTGGCACACTTAAAAGAAAGTTATGGTGAATTGCGCAAAAGACGTTTACGAAATTTTCAAATGCAAAATGCATTGATGAATTTGTTATTTTTAAATGAAAGTAAAGGAACGGAAAGATTTTTTCGACATCTACTTCAATGTTAACTGAATAACTTTTAAGTTCTTTGTTTAATCAAGCTAGGGGGGTGGCTACTTTGCGTCAAATCTTTTGCGCAACTAGGTCAATCTTTATGATCTTGGTGTCATTTTGTTACACTTGTTGCGATCTACAAAATGACACCACAATCATAAAGATTGGTTGACTTCGAACAAAGTTATGGCGAATTGCGCAAAAGACCCAGTTGCGCAAAAAATTTGGTGCAAAGTAGCCACTCCCATGTTTGTCGATTTATAAGTTATCTCATCTCTCTTTTTCTTTTTTAAAAAGGGTATTTTTGTTTATCATTTTTGTATGTATCATTTTATTAATAAAAACATTTCTATTTTTACAAGCAAATAAAAGCAATTCCATTTTAAAAGTCGTATGCTAATCAGGCAAAGAAATTTCCCAAGCAAAAAATTTTGTGCGCATATTTGATAAGCAAAGTCACATCCATCATCCAAAAAAACTGATTTCTAGAAGTTTTTGCTAAAAAGAGCCATGTGACTGAAAGCTAAGAGAAATTTCGTTTCTGGAAAAGAAATCAAAGCGCCGTTAATCGCATTTTTTATTAGTTACACTGTTTACTTGGACAATGTAATCTCAAAATAAAAACAAGAGTTGGATCGGAAAGCTCACAAAACAAGTAATCAGCAAAAATTTGTGAAAATTTATCTCCATACTCTAACGATGCCCAAAAATCTATCGGAGTCTCGATTGGAAAAGTTACAAGAGGAATTCTACGACAATTTCGATCCAGAGAATTGCGCAAATCATCCGGTTTATTATGGATACTGGAATGATGGGGATGTTAACTATGAGTGGAATGGTCTACCGATTCGTACAAATGTCAACGATGAATATAACACGATGGTGGCCACATTGATGAGTGTTGTGGGTTTTACAACAATTTATTCGTTTTCCTTTTATTACATCAGCAACTTCAGCAAGCATTTAACATTGACTTTTAAAAAGGAGGCATGGTGGGTTTTCTTTAATTTCTTCTTATCTTTTTTAAACACATATAACCTCAACTAGTCAACTACTGTATTTCCCATAATAATAAAGCGCCCTAATAATTTTTCAACCCTCTCACAGCCAGCTCTATTATTACAGGTGGTCAAAAATTAGGGCAACTCCTTTTTACAAAAGTAGCTGTCAGATGCCTACCATGCTTCAAAAGTTTCTTATATAGAGAATTGAAGCCCTTGATCTTGGCTTCATTTATCTACTAAAAATTCCACAATCGGAAAAACTCCACAAAATGGCATGTCAGACGCTGCGACGCACTACCACTCGGCCACGCGGTAGCATGTATTCTTTAATCTCGCCTTTTAGCAAAAACGGTCAAATTATGTGTCAAATATTATTAGATTTTTGGAAACTACGTAAAAAGTTAGGTTTGTAATGTCAAACTTTCTAATCGATTGGTTCCGCCGTTTTTTCTAAAACAGCGGAACAGACACACACACAGACACACAAAATCAACAGCACTTCACCGGAGAGAGGCCGATTAGAGCTCATTGAAAAGCTTGTAAAATGAGCTTTCTAACTCCGATTGTGGAGTTTTTAGTAGATAAATGAAGCCAAGCTCAAGGGCTTCAATTCTCTATATAAGACTTGACACCTTTGAAACAAGGTAGGCATTTGTCAGCCACTTTTCTAAAAAGGAGTTGCCATAATTTTTGACCACCCTGTAGAAAAATCGTTTATTTTTTCAGATGGGTCTTCTAGGAACTGTGATCAGTTTCATTGCGATCACCTTAATTCTCAAAAATGCGCGTCTCTCGCGTGCGGTCAAATATATTCTCTTCTCGTTTTGTTGGTGTCTTTTTCTATATTCAATTTACCATTTCTATAAAGCTTATTGTGTTTTATCGTAAGTATTTAAAAGTTTTCGTTTCTATGATTTTTTAGATGGGAGTGTGTAAATCCGATTGGAGAACCCCTCAGTGGACTGATCACCAATCAGATATTTACAGTTTTTAATGCTGGCGATTCGTTGACTATTCAGCTGCTTGATATTGCTCTATCTGTCAATCGGTAGTGCTTGAGTCTGTTAGAAAATTTAAACAGAAATTCCAGTTTCTTTGCTGTTTTCTTCAACGGTCTTCACTTTCGAGCGGCCGAAAAAACAGCACTACCACATTGCATTTTTGCTTGGATTTTCCCAATCATTTTGTTGGCTTCGGAGATCGGAATTAGTAATTGATGACTTCTTTTATTGCTTGATTTTGCAAAAGCCATTTTCAGTTGTGAATCCAACTACCGGTTTCATTTGTTATTCTGGCTGTTGGTATGATCCTCTTCTATATCGAACGGCTCTTTTCTATGTTCGTTTCATTTTTCCGGTTGTAATCCTGGGAAACAATTCTTCTCTGATCTCTTTTGGACTCATTATTGTCATTGCTCTTTATTTAGACGGAGCTGTGATTTGGAGGCTGAAAAAAATGGTTTCAATTGAAAAGAAACTTTGAATTTTTAGATTTAGAACATGAAATCTGAGGCTCGAAAACGAGGAGACATGAAACTGATGATAATGGTGATTTTTGTGAAAGAATTCATAACAAAATCTTATGAATGCTTCTCAAACAATCTTTGAGCTATTTTAAACTTTAAAAATTGAACTTCTTTGTTCCTCTCTTTCAGATAACAGTCACCCACATGTTCTCGATGCTCAATTTCCTAAATGACTTGATTTTGACGATTATTTTTGACAATATTGACGCCGAGTTGACAGCGTTAAATTCTTTCTGGCAAGGCAATGTGTTTCAATTCATTTTCCGAGCACTGATGGGGTTAGTTTTGGTTAGGAAAATCCACAAATAGAGGTTTTTAAATCCACAGGGTTCGCACAATTAGGGCTATTCACTTCCTAAAGTACGATGACGAGTACCTCTTTTAATCACAAATTTAATTCCTATTTTTAGGTTTATTTAATTATCGGATTAGTGTAACTAAGTTAATCAATAGCTTAACTATCAATCAATCAAATTAATCAATCAATTTTAAAGCTTATTTATTCTCAGATTAGTGGTCATCGGCTTCAATTGGCCCGCTAAAGTGCCCAAAAGTGAGCCCCTGTTTGTTCAAAATACTCGAGGAAGGAGAAGAACATTTTGAACAGCTTACGCTTGAATAAAACATTTCAATCTTTTTAAAATGTTTATTTAAAAATAATTTCCATCTCTTCTTTTTCATTTGATCTCCATTTCGACCTGCGAACCCAAAATGAAAGCGAAAAATGGTTATCAGAGTTCAGCAATGGAATTAAATCACTACAAGTTGAACATCTTGAACTTCAAACAAATACAAAAATCAAATCTCGGGTGTAATAAATTACACTACGAGACGAATTGTCTAACTAGTGAACCCTTTGAAGCTACATTTCAGGAGCGATCTGATTCCTAAGCTAAGCTTCCTTCCATATTCAAGTCTTCTTAAGATTGTCTTAGAGTTTAGCAACTGAATCACTAGAAGTTCTTGAACTTCAAACAAATACAAACAAATCTTGAACTTCAAACAAATACAAAAATCAGATCTTTGGTGTAATAAGCTACACTACGAGACAAATTGTCTAACCAGTGAACCCTTTGAAGTTACATTTCAGGAGCGATCTGATTCCTAAGCTATTCAAGTCTTCTTAAGATTGTCTTAGAGTTTCACTACAAGTTGAACATCTTGAGTTTCAAAAAATTTCAAAAATCATATCTTGCGTAATAAATCACACTACGAGATCAACTGTCTTAGTTCTATTTTTGCAAAGTATTAATTTTCGCAGAGTAGAGCAAAGTTTTCGTAACTTTCAACGCTCTTCAAATCAAAGTTTCCCCGAGGGAAATGGATAATTATTTTGACTGAAATTTGACTTCTCTTAAACCATAACAAACCAAATTTCTCGATTTTTCAGATTTTGTCAAATCTAATTTTAAAATATTTTCGTCGTTAATCATTCTTTTTCAATGAACAAATTTTAGAAACAATGAACAACTTCATCTATCCGAATGACTCATTAGCAAAGGTTAGATGATGAAAATTTGAATTATTTCAAATTTGAGATCAATTCTCTTACTAGGGAACATTGTCAAACGAAGAACGCTATAAGTCTAGTGAAATAGATAGTATTATAGATCTCGTTCTCCTGGTTCGAAATATATTAAAAAAATAACTTTTTGACGTAATCGCGAGCAGAAATGGGTTCTTTATAAGGGCGAAATGCGCGAACCAAAAAGACTGGCGTGGTAGTCTAGTGGATAAAGCGCTAGCGTGCGAAACTTCTATAGTTTTTTATCAAAGTCTCGATTGGAAAAGCTACAAGAGGAATTCTACGACAATTTTGATCCAAAAGATTACACAAATCATCCGGTCTATTATATCATACGTCTATTATATGGATATTGGAATGATAGGTTCGAATCCTCTCTCGGAAAAGTTTTTTAGCTTCTTTTGCTTTTTTTTAAAAAAGTGTGAAATTCACTACATGAAACACAATAATTAATTGTTTTCGAGTGTGAATTATACTTTTTTTATGGAAATTTGTAAAAGCTTACCCTGTCTGTCAGCTAGCATAAGAAATTATATCTCGCCACCCCATGGACCGATCGAGCTGAAATTTTGGCAAGAGATATAGAATTAAAAATAAAGAGACATGTGTTTGAGCGTTTTTAATCTCACTAGTTTGATTGCTTGTTATAGAGCTGAGCTGAGTAAAACTGGGGTTGAGAGTTCGATTCCGGGTGCGGGCAGCAAATATGCAAATTTTTTGAATGGATAGTTCGCGCTTTCCCTTTAGAAAAGGCCCATGTATGCTCTCCAGTTGCGATTAAGTTGAAAAGTTAATTTTTTACATATTTAGAACCAGGAAATTGAGGTCTATAGCAATATTTAGTTCACTAGTTGTTCGCTGTTCCCTTGACAACGTTCTCTAGTTAGTTCTAGTCTTGTACGTAGTGAAATTTAGCCATTAGAAACTCTCTGATGAATCTCAGTGTTATAAAAGTTTCAATTTGCCTTTTCGAAGTTATTTTGTCCATGAATAAACTTAGATATCAATAGAAAATCAAAAATTATTTGGCTTACTGAAACTTTTCAAATTGTGACCCTAATAGTATCACGGAAAATGAAAAATTTTTTTAGTTTGGCCTAGATGTGTACGATTCACTACATCCTGGTTTACTTCAAACCTTTGCTAATCAATGTAATTCAGAATTGATGCAAACTCGACCGAATCTAATAAAAGGTATCGTCAAACAAAAAGAGTTTTCTCAACTTTTTAGGGATAATCTATGTGCTCATCGGCACCACCTATGAGATTCTCTATTTGTTGTGCATGATAGCGATGTGCCAACCGAAATTCTTGGCCATAATCTGCTATCAGATACTGTGAGTTTTTTTGAAGATAACAATTGTCTTCCTTAGAAAATTTTCTACATACGAGCATTGATAGTAAAAATTTTATTCGTATCAGGTTGTCAACTAAATACCCGGACTTTTTCATAAAAATTGGTTTTTATAAATGTTGAATGGACCAAATGAAGTATGGTTTGCACCATTGGAAAGATCTATATTTCTTCTGCAAAATCGTTGCTAGTAATTTAGAAAAGTTTTCTTTTTTGGGGTTTTTCGAGAGCGCAACGGTGAGTAGGCAAAATTGGCAAAAACCGACCGTTGGCAACTTTTTGATGGGAACTGACACTAACTTTCTATCTCTGTTAGATCAATCTCTGTTATATTTTAAGAAAGATCAATTTTTGTTACATTCTTAGTGAAATTTCCAGTAAAATCCATCCAGCCTTTTTCTAGAAATTCCAAGTTATTCAAAGCGCCTCATATGATTAAAATTCTTTATTTGAGGACTTCTGTTCAAATCAAAATTCAGAAAAAACGGCTGAACGGATTTGGTTGAAAATTTTACAGAAAATATAGAATATTTATGTCTTTATTTTACGTAAGAAAAGTAAGACCAATTCTTGTTGAAAAATTTATCAAATGGGTAAGTTTTTGCGTGTTTTAGACGACGTGATTTGCAAGGAGATTAGACGATCGATTAGACGATTAGACAATTCGATTAGACGGATTTGGCTGATTATTTTACTGAAAATGTGAAAAACTAAGAGCTTTATTTAAAAGCTTTATAAAATTAAATTAGTATTTGTCAAAAAATCGTATAACAATCGTCAAAATGTCAAGAAATTCGTGCTGTAAAGTTTCGGCAGAAAAAAAAAAAAAAGAAAAAAAAAAAAAAAAAGAAAAAAAAAAAGAAAAGGAGGAAAGGGGTTTTTTTTTTGGTGGAAATAACAAAAAAAAAAGAAAAAAAAAAGAAGAAGGGAAGTCTTTTTTCACCTTGTGTTGGGTGGGGAGTGTGGGGGTTTTGAGGTTGCTTTTCTGTTTTTGTGAATTTTGACAACTTTCCTTTGCACCCCTAAAAAGATTCGAAAACAAAAGCTTTTCAAAATCTCTCAAAAGCTATCCTGTTGAGAAAAGATATAGCTTTTGAATGATACAAGCTAGATCCCATTTGGTTCAGCCACCATTTTTCAAACCTACTTTTTCCATAAAGACCGGTTATTTAGTTTACAACTAAGAAATAATAAGAAATAAAGAAAAAGATTAAAAAACTGTACAAGTATGTGGAACCGTTTTGGGAGCCAAATGTGTGGAGCCTTAATTCATTTGGATAATTTTGGATAAGCTCCTTTTTGGATAGTTTTTGGATTTTTAAATTTCAGCTTTGTCATCGGTTTTTTCGACATGTTGAGCATGATCTCGAACTCGCTATTGCCTGGGTATTGGCTGATCACAGGGCAATCGTTCTGCCGCAGTCCGATGCTCAATCTTTCTATTGGAGCCTCAGCTTTTCGTAAGTTTGCTCTAGTTTTTATTTCCCTTTCGTTTCATAAGTTTTTTTCCATAGTGGGTTTTTGTCCGTTGATTTTTCTCAGCTTTCTTAAACGTTTAAGTGAACTGAATTGTCTATTTTCTCCAAAACTCTTATTCAGCTTGTTGGGCCACGTACAGCGCGTTAAGCATCTCTCTGGCAATAAATCGTTGCGTCGATTTTACATTTCCAAATAAACAAGAGGTAAAAACTTTTCTATGTGATAAGAGGTAAATCACTAGCAGTCACTAGCAAAAGTAATTCGAACTTTCATTTGAATCTTTGATTTCAGATGATATTCGGGGGGAAAGCGATCATCTTGTGGACTGGGTTGCCGATCGTTTACGGCTTGATTTTATACTTGAAAGTGCCCTCAGTGGTCTACCATGCACCCACAGCCAGCTACTATTTTGGGGCCGATCCCATGAAAGCACAGGTGAAAAAACATACCGTAAATACTCTAATAGAACGCCACCGTCTCGTACAGTTGCGTAGCTTAACTTCTTTTTAGAAAACGATTTTTTCTCAGTCCCTAGATTTCTTCCAATTACACTTTTGGTACCAAAAATTACTAGATTTCAAGGGCTATCCTTTGGTAAGCAATCGCATACTGTAGCTTAAAGCAGAGCGGAGAACGAAACGTTCAAAGTTAGACTACGCGACTGTACGCCAGTCATTCTCACGTTCTATTAGAGTATTTACGGTAGGTAAAAAGATAGGCAAATGAAATGATGAATCTTCTTTTTCTAGGCCCCATTTATCTTCACCATTAACAATATTTTTATGGCAATTTTAATTTTGTTCCTCAATGTGATCATGATTCGAGCGATGCTTTACCGAAACCTCATCTCAATGACCAAAACACAACGAATGGTGGGTTGGGATCGGGGAAATCTTGAATATCTAATACCTTATTCACGCAAGCATGAAAAAGTGAAAACGGAACATGTTTAATTGACAAAATGGCACACAGTAAACTTATTGAACAAAAGAAGGGAAAAATTGTAAAGACTGAAGAATAAATTAATTCGATTCTATTCTATTCTATTCAAATTCAATGACTATCTGCCTAATTCAGATTCAAATTTGTTAAATGCGAACTTGTTAAATGAATAAATGACAAATCTAAATTTAAGCATTATTTTCAAATCAATTTACGTGAATTTCTAAAAAAAACAATAATGAATGCATTAAGCTAAATTATCAATTTTCGTTTGACAAAGTTTTTTTTACAGCTTTTAATCACAAATCTAGCTCCTATTTTCTCCGTTAATAGATCCATTAGATAGCAAAACTCGATAGAACTGATTTTTTAGATTCTCTTGAGCAAAATTACATCTATTCTAATCTCATTAAGGAACCAACGATGAGAGTAGACCGATTTTTTTAGACTTAACGGTTTACTAACGAGGTTTTACTGTAATTTATTAATGATTTGCTTTATAACAAACTCGCGAAGAGGTCTTTTTTTGCTTGGCTTTGGACAGGTGAGTTTACAGCTCCAAGCGCGTGTTTTCCCGAGAACTGTTATTAATAATTTATATTCATACTTTATTCAAGAAATGAAATAAAGCGTAATCAGATAAGACCAGTGTCGAGAAAAGATTTAAAGCAGACCCCCAACCCCCCGCACCTTCATTATGGGGGGGGGGTAATACCTTCGGTATGTATATATATATTTATATTCAATTAGAAGATCAACTTTCAATCAATGTAAATAGGATGGTGAACGGAAAGACTCAAGTTTACAAGCTTGATAGAATGTAATGCTCTCTTAAAAGTGTTTAAATATCTTTAATGTGGAATGGAAGAGCAGTCCAACTATCAACAGCAGAAGTGAAAAACTTAGATTTAGAGAATTCAAAGCATCTGCCGCTTAATTTTTTCCTAATTTTCCTTAGAAAAGTACAATTTTCTTTTATTTCTCCCATTTCTCGTTCATTGATTCAAATCAGATCCGAATTGATTCAAATCAGACTCCAAGTTTCTTCAAATATGTTTCAGATCGCGTTTCAATGTTTCGGGATCAGCATGTCTGTTTTGTTAACCGGTTGGCTTTATGTGGCCATGCAGTTCCTTCCGATGCCCAACTTCATGATCACTGTGGCCAACTTATGCTGGCAATTCTCAAATGGTTATTTTTCTCTTTTTTTTTGCGAAGAAATCCATTTTTTCAGGCTCAATGGCTATTTTCTATTTGACCGTAAACAAAACGATGCGAAAAGAAGTGTTGAAGTTGTTGAGGATTCCGCGGAAAAATAACCGAATCTATTCAACGTCCACTGGACCCCAGGCACCTAAGCACAACCTCTCGCCTCCGAATTGCTAAAGTACTTTGTCTGGAAAATATTGTAAGGCAAAAATATGAAATTAAAACTCCAAAATAAATAAACAAAATGGTTTAACAACCGACCTCGGTTCAGATTTCGCTTTAAACGAATGAACACAACCAATTTTTATCAAAGCCACGATCAAATTGCTTAAATTTCGACTATTTCAATTGCAAAAATGTATGAATTATAAAAATCAAGGCTTATTTATAAGTTTATTAGACTTAACAAGTCACTCTACCCTTCAAGTTTATTCCCATATATATAATGGAAAAATTAAAACAAACAAAAGTTTGGTGCTCAAGTGATGTCAAGGGTTTTCTCCGGAATTTGCTAACAGATTTAAATATTCTTGATGACCAAACAAATAAGCATAACAACAAGCACCAATAATCATTAAAAAGTGGTTTAATATTTGAGCGGTTTGTTTTAAAATCTCTTGAATTTTTCAAAAAGACTGAAAGATATTATCAAGCCATAAAAAAGCGTTTAATAAAGGAGCCCAAAAAGAGTCATTATCTGATCTTTGCTTCCAGAAAATGTTCTCTGAAAACTTTCAATTTTCTAATAATCAATTTACTTTTAATTTATTCACCAAAAAGATCTTTGAATTCTTTTTGACTCATACTAATTCTTTGAACATCGGAATCATTACCAAGTTCACAGATTCACAATTAGTTAATTGAAAGAATGTTTTCGTAATCTTTGGACATTTTGATTCTAAAACTGTAGTTGATGTTATCATTAGTCAATTCTGCAGTTTTCTAATTAAAGGTACAGACACTGATTAGAGTAGACAATTCTACGAACAAGACAATTCTACGAACAAGTCAACTGTCTGAGTCGGCCAACTGCTATGCGACTTATATTATTCAACGCAGCATTTTATGCTGCTTCCGAATATATATTCCGTTTTTGCTAAATGACAATCTGTCAGGAGTTATAAGCGTCTAAAGTTTTGTTAGGTCTCTAAAATGTGGTTACGTGGGTCTTAGCGGTCTCCAGGATCAAATTTGGTGCGATCGTAGCCGGATGATGCAGCGTTCAGTCAAGGAGCCAGACTTCACAAGTTCCGATTTTTCTATTGCTTTTTTACAAGAATTTTTGATTCGTATTCACAACATATTTCTTGTTGTCACACCTTCATAAATTTTTTTACACTTTTACAACAATAATTCTCAAATAAAGACGAAAAGAAAACATAGTAACTATGATATCGTATTTTCTCTAATAGTAGTGCACCCCGGCGAGCCGAGTTGGTGACGATTTTACGGTTTCCAAGCTTTTGCGGAAGCTCAAGACTCTAATCCCCCGCTAGATCGCATCGTCAGCTACATTTTCCGACCCCACATCGATAGGTTCTGCTAAGCGGTTCTTGAGATTTCAAGCAATTTAGGCAACGCTCAGGGTGCACTACTACTTTTCTCTAATAGTAGTGCACCCTGAGTATCGCCGAAATTGCTCGAAATCTCGAAAACCGCTTATCAGAACCTATCGATGTGGGGTCGGAAAATGTAGCTGACGTTGAGATCTAGTGATTAGAGTATTGAGCTTCTGCAAAAGCTTGGAAACCGTAAAATTGTCACCAACTCGGCTCGCCAGGGTGCACTACTATTGGAGAAAATACGGTAGTCATCAATTAATGACAATCATCGATAAAATGAAAAAAAACATAACTTTATATTGCACTGAGCACAAGATATAAATGCATGATTGGCGCAATTCATACTTTCAAAAGCAAAATCAAAAACTTTAAGATCGAATTCAATGGGAGTGGAAAAGTTGACAGCAAGAGAATCAAAGTATCCGCATTTGATCCATGAGTATTGCCGGAGAGCTTGAAAATAGGGAGCACCCATCTGTGAGTACAGACACAATTTTGGTAAGAGAATCTCTTGAATGAATGGAGAAATAGCGATCATTTGCAATTACCTAGCACACAATATTGCTTGACTGTTTGACTTAATACTGTCAACTGTTTGACAGGACAAAAATAGTAAAAATCCATTGGTTAGATCATGTTCGTCGCTTCTGCGAGAATGTTTTCAATTGTCAGGTCATGTCCCTGAGTTACTGCCTGTTAAATAAAGCCGTGCTCTTGAAAGCTCGTCTACGAGTCGAGGAGGATCGCATACTTTTTAGGTGCACTTCGTCACAAGCCTCTCTTAAATGCACTTTGCAACAAGTTTCTTCTGCATGATATGTAAAACTCCTGCTTTGGTAAAGAGATTTTTTGGAGAGAAGTGCCCTTTCTTTGGAAAAACTCCATTCATTTCAGAGTCCTAGCAAAAATTTAGACGCTTATAACTCCTGAAAGTTTGTCATTTAGCAAAAACGAAATATACATTCGGAATCAGCATAAAATTCTTTGTCCAATAGTATAGATTGCATAGCATTTGACCTGCTCAGCCAGTTGACCTTTCCTTGTAAGAGAAAAAACTTTAGGAATCATTTCCCATCATTTGAATAAAGCCGTGATCTAAGCTCGTTCACAGGAGTAAATACTTTTTAGATCCATTTCCGTCACAGATGGATAATTGTCTACATACAGGTTTATATGAATCGGATATGAAAATAAAGTCATTCTATAGTGTTGAACAGCTTTTGTATTTTGCAAAAATTTGTCAATTTTTTTCTTTCTTCTTACGTCCATAGTTTTCAAAAGCAGTTTTCTATAGTTTTCTTTTTGCTTTTCAAATTTGAGTGGAGCGAAAAGACTTTCTTGCTAACCTAATAGACAAACTTTCTCTTTCTTTACAGATGATCTTTACAGATAAAAAAGTATATTTACTCGCCACGAATAATGAATTACAACCCAACGGATGAAATTTTTACCCCTAATTACCCATATTACCCAAATGCTGTTAAGAAAAAAACCCATAATAACTGGAAAAAGTACGAATCTTTCTAGCCGCCGGGATCGAACCTTTAACCCCCGACTAGGAGACAAGACTCCTATCCGGTTGGTTACGACGGCTCGATGCAAAATCTTTATTAACAATCATTTAACCGGCGTTGATTGAGGACACAAAAACAGTTATATTATTTTTTGTGAAATCTAATTTCTTGAGAATCGGCATCTTCCCGAGAAACTCGAAAATGAAGATTCGATACGGTTTTGTCAATATTAAAATTGCCAATGATGATAAAGTCCCATGAAAAGCGAGAACTCCAAAGCAAAAGTTGTTCAACGCTAGAACTCTTGTAAAAATTGTAATTTTTTAAAATTACGTAGATTTATATAATCTTGCTGAAGATATATAACGGGAACATAATAAAACCACGGGCCGGCTAAGGAAGTAAACGGGATGAATAGCTGAAAAGTAAAGTAGAAAAGTAAAGTATTTTATTTAAAAGTCCTTGACTTTCCAAATCTTCGGGTTAAGTCTTAAGAAAAAGTAATTTCACACATTAACACACATTTTCTAGATCCAAGCAAAGCTGAATTAAGCCAGAAAATGATATTCTGGCTTAGGACTGTAGCTGGGACTATGTTTTGTCTGCTTGGTGAAAAGAATAATCTTGAATTTCGATTCAAAACATTCAAATTCGGACAAACACTGAAAATTTCAGTGTTTAACCAAATCGAAAACACTTTCGGGATCAAATCACTGAAAATTTCCAGAATTTCTCGCATAAATAGGTGAAGTTGGCCTAAAGTCTCCCGACTAGGAGACTTTAGGCCAACTTTGATTTAATCAATTTCATTTGACTTCTTCTACTTTCATTTGACTTGGTATTTGACTTCTAGTTCACACACCTGTACACACATCGCTTTGAAAAATTTGTGTTGCATTTTTCTCGTGCTCTCACTCATTTGCGACGTTGCGTTGATGATGTTTTTGTTACATAAATGAATGAAAAGAATATTCTAAAATGGGAAATACAAATGCTGAAAGATATACTTTACGACTGGATTTATTGTGAAGATCAGGAAGGGTACCATAAATAAAAACAAATAATAGACGGGGAAATAGAAACCGAAAACAAGGGTAGGTTTCACGGTGCTCGCATACATTTCTGGGTAATTCGTCAAATTGGACCAAACTGGGTGTGTCTAGAAAATCTCATTGTTAGAAAATGAAGGTAATCGGATTTGTTTACCTAATAAGATCTAATGTTTTCAGCTTTCAGTCATGTTCTCAGGTTAGAATGCAGCATGCAATACATAATACCTCTACAGGTTGACACAAAAGTTCAAAGCAATCTCGTTTTTAGGGTCAACAGAAAAAAAACAGTTTAGAAATTCGAAAGCCAGATAAAATTTCGATCTAGAAAAGACTTCATGGGAACCGAAAAAAAATATTTTTGAACCTGTTTTCAACAGAATTTTTACGAAACATGCTTTTGAATGACAATGGGGCATTACTTGTGTGAACCACTGTATGTTACGTTCAGACGTTTGATCCAGACTTAGATTTAGAGTGATCGGATTCCAGATCAGACGGACTTCTAAATAGGACACTAAAATATTTTAACAAACCTCGCTACCTATTCGCTTTACTGCCAAAAAACACCTTCAAACCATTAGATCTAATTGAATGATTACAGTTTTTAGATTATTCACCCGAATCATATCTCGAATATTTTCACCGTATAAATTTTGCTCTATTGGAAGCACCAGAAAGACAAAGAAGAACTCAAATGGATATAAACCGTAAAGTATTATCAAATATATAAGGCGACCACAACGAGACAATCTGGAAAAATATTTATAATATGAACAAAAAAACGAACCTGAAGAAGTCCCCCTCAGATAATAAACTTTGCCATTTGTAAAAGAATAATTGATTGATTGCACAAGTCAGGCCAGCCACGAAGAACCCACCGGTGGCCTAAGTAAAAAAAATGATCAATTCAGTCTTATTTTTTAAACCAAGGCTAAATTGGCTCCAAGTTGAAAAATCGAATCCCAAATCCCGAAAATCCGTCCGGCAAGCGCGGGAAAATAGAGCTCCGGCCGAATCGAAGTCAACACCAAATCCAATCCGATTGTCCAAAACTATTAAGTTATTTAGTAAGTGCCTTTTGATAAAGAAACTTTTGAGACCTTGAAGAACCTTAAAGACATTGAAGAACCTTGAATGAAACCTTGAAAACCTTGAATGAAACCTTGAAAACCTTGAATGAAACCTTGAAAACCTTGAATGAAACCTTGAAAACCTTGAATGAAACCTTGAAAACCGTGAATGAAACCTTGAAGTTCTCAAATTAACAAGGGTTTGACAATAGAAAAATATGAAAGAAAGTCAGTCGGCTCTTAGCTACTCATCCCGCCCCTTTTTTATTCGAACTTCGAAACATGTTTTCTTTTCTATTTTATAGCCGTTTGAAATGGTTTTGGTACCAATAGCAAAGCTAATTATCTATCGAATACAGGGTGCCGCATAACTATGTGGAAATGTGGAAATCGATTACTCCTAGTATTGGGTTGGCCCATAGTAATAAGTCAATTTTGAACAGAAATATTTATTCAATAACTCCAATCTAGAGCAATCAAAATAGATTTCATTTTTTTCTAAACCTGTGCCCATTTTACTGGTAGAAGGCGAATTTGCCAAAAACCGTTTTCGAAAATGCGTCCTTTACAGTTGCTGTTCTTTTTTCCGGGTCCATTTAGCAAATTTGAAAGAAATAAGAAAGCAGATCCAATCAATGAAAGTTTATTAAATAAGAGATGTCTGTTGTCTCTTTTAGTGGTAAACACCAAGGGCTAACTAAAGCTTAACGCCAAAGTTTCTCTTCTTTTCCATGACATGACTTACTTATGACCGATCTTACTGACTTATGGCCTTATGGCCAGAAATATCTACCGGTTAGAGAAACAACTTATTCTTCGAATAACAAAGATAGAAACAAATTTTCGCTTTCAAAATGACCACTATTCGCATGGACAAAAGTCTTTGAACGTTGGTTTTTAAAAGTTTGTTCTTTGTATATCTTGATCCAAATCCGACCAAGTTGCAAACGGTTAAAAGATTGAAAGAGCTTATTATCTCTAATTTTAACATTACAAAAAGATGGATTTGACAATTTATCAGGTGTCATGGACCTTTTAATAAAACAAAAATTGAGGCAAAAATTGATCGACATAAGTCTTTTCAAATGTGAGAAAAACATTATGAAAATCAATACTTAGTGGGTCTTCCGCGAGCTGCAATTACTGCTTGAATTCTCCTTGACATACTGTCAACCAGATCACGTAGAATTTGGGGTCCAGTAGTTGTCCAGACTCGACGGATCTGTACCAAAGCTCCACTTTTGATCTGAATAGTTTCCCCTTCAATTTCGACTTCACAAACGCCCACAAGTTTTCGATTACATTCAAATCAGCACTATAGGGAGAAGCAGACACAAGTTGAACACGGTTTGCTTTGAACCATCCTGGCACCAGAGCCGTTCCTCCATTGGCGAGTCGAACACGGCGTCCGATCAGCAGCTGTGGGTTGTGGCACGGGGCATTGTCCTGGTACAACTACCAACCTTGGCCCATATTTGCGGTCAAAAACGGTAGAAGATCATTCTCCAAAATCGTCTTGTAGCGTTGAGCATTCCGCGTTAATTTAGAAGGACGAGTGGTCCAGTGAATTTCTGGACATTGCTCCTAGAAATCAGAAAATCAGTAGGCACAAAATGCAAAGGTTCTTACCCCCTAGCATGATCGATCCGCCACCAAATTTAACCTTAGAACGCAAGTATTTAATGTTATAACGTTGTCCGACTGGTCTCCGTATCCAATGATTGCCATCAGGGGCAAAAAGATTCGTCGGTGAACACAACATTGGCCCATTCGTGCGACGTCCAACGTTGATGCTTCTTAGCAAACTCGAGACGAAGCTTCCGGTCCTTACCATCAGAGTTTTCTGGGCGGCCCTTCTAGTCATCAATCCATCGTCAACCAGGCGTTGACTCACTGTTTTTGCGAGAAATTTCTTTGTTAAATTGTTGCTTCACCATAACCACGCCATCAGAGGCATTCAGATTTGGGTTCTTCTTGTGGGCCAGAACGAGCGCATTGTCTTCTCATTAAGTTGTAACTGGTGGACGTCCCCCTTTTGATGCACGATGAACGTTTCCCGCGAGTTTGGCCCTGGAGACAACAAGCGATACAGTTGTTTCGGTACAGCGGAAGAGCTCAGCGACGGCTTTTCTAGACATTCCATTTTTTCGAGCTTCGACGATTTTTTCCTGGTCCGAAGTTGATAAGTAGGCGCCGGAGATCTAAAAAATTAGAGTTAGCAATCAAAAATCAAAAAGAAAAAACAGAAAAAGAAGAGATTTCTCGAAAAAACTGTGGTTAAAAGACTTAGGTCCATCAATTTTTGCCTCAATTTTTGTTTTATTAAAAAGTTTAAGACACCTGATAAATTGTTCAATTCATTTTTTTGTAATTTTAAAATTAGAGATAATAAGCTCTTTCAATCTTTTAACCGTTTGCTAATTGGTCGGATGTGGACCAAGATATACAAAGAACAAACTTCTAAAAACCAACGTTAAAAGACTTTTGTCTATGACTGTACATTTTCTTAATCGTTTAGTAAAAGCGGATCCATAATTTTGCCTAACCCTGCGGTACGAATTCCACCAAAACTTGAATAAGAATCGGCTCATGAGTGTCAAAATTAGATTTTTAAAGGCAAACATAGGGAATAATATCTGTAAAAAGTTTGTAATCAAAAAAAATGTTTACTTGGTATAAAGGTATAGCTGAAGCAACTTCAAATATTATTGTAAGTTGCTCCCATCTCACCTGATAAACAATTAAATGAGCCTTGTATTCTTTCATCTCGGGTGGCGTTTTCTTCACAATACAATACAATGTAAAAAAGTTTAATGGAGTCGAGAAAGCCGCGAGAATCGTTTCGTACCACAAATAAATAGACGGTTCGTCCAGCATTTGGGAATTAAAATCGATAGGTTTTAATGGAAAACTGAAACTGATTGAAAAACATTTTTACTTTTTTCTGTTTGTGGCATCATACTTTCTTCTCTCACCTGTCTCTGACACCTGCTTTCCCTCGAATTTCTAGGATTCAAATTTTATTCAAAGGACAAGTGTATAAGTTGTGTTTTGTGACAAGCATTTGTTTCCATTTTTAAACTTGTGAAACCATTGATCACATGTAATCTTGCAGAGTCAATTGTTCAAAATTCACGACTTTTACTTCCTCCACTTTAGATCAAAAATAAAATGCATGGCTGATATTCGATGAATTCACTTTTCTCTCCGTTTTTAAGATGCATACAATGAGTTGAGTCGAAAACGTATGAAAAATGATTACAAACGTTTATTTTATTGTATTTTTGTCAGAACTGGTTATTTAAGATTTATAAAATTTATAAAATTTAAGATTGGATTTGCGGACCGGGATCTCAGCGATAGATCCAGTCGCCATCTATGCAGTAAACCCCGGTCCGCAAGTTCAATCCTAAATTTTTGGCCTGGTCCAGCCCGGCCCGCTAAGATGCCTATCAAATTTATCATTATTGAGTTGACATTGCACTTTTTGACGATTTAGTCCTTCCAACAGTGGACAATTTATTTTGAACAAGAAACAAAAAGCAAACACAAAGCAAAAGAATTGTGATTCTCATCCAGCCACGGGTTCCATCGGCGGATTGCAATAGACCCAGATAAAGTCTTTCTAAAATTGTGCTTAGTAATACAAGCAATATAAGAAATCAAGTCCAATTCTTTACAACCGTTCAAAAAGAAAACTTCATATTGCAATTCCGCACTAGAAAACCTACTCCCACAAATTGCCATTTCGGACCCTTGGGTCCAACAGCACAACGGAAATATTTGTCGGCTGTCGATGTGACCTGAAATGAAGGGTGTAAGTAGAACGCCGGATTCAACTCACCGGTCCCGCCACCTTTTCATCATCTAAATAGTCGTAATCGACATTGTGCATATAGTCCCAGTCTCCTTGTGCAATCACACCAAACCAAGCCTAGGATTGATTGCTTGGATTGAATTCTCATTAATCGATTACAGAGGTAGTATTTGGCGTGGGAGAGCAGATATAGTTGGCAATCTGACAGCCATTCTCATCGGTTCTGAAAGAATTTCATCTATTTGAATGAATTTGTTCGCTTACGAATATGTGACATTGAAGGTGCTGTTGTCGACAGTGTAAACGCGTTCGATGAAATTCTCTGGACAGCCACTTGTGCATACTGAATTGAAACAAATGATTTTGATTTTGCTTATGAAACAAACTTGGAGTCGTGGTGGTGGTAGTAGTGGTTGTGCTTGTCTAAGTTAAATTTGAAGAGTTTGATTTAAAGAAAATCACGTTTTCTGCTTTGGATTGATGAATGGATTCTCAAATATTTCTTCTAATAATCCATAAATCAGAAACTTCAAACAGAGAAGCGCAAACAAATTGGTTAGTGAAAATTTATTTGCTGAGGCTTTCAATAGAAAAAAGTAAAGCCAACCGGCATGCAGGCAGGCAGTGCGATGACCGGATCGTCGGGCAACGAGGGACCGCACAACGGCTCACTTTTGATCTTGTCTGGACCGCTAATCGTCCTCACCTAAAAGATTAAAAGAAAGATTTGTGTCTATTGTATTTGGAAGATTGTATTTGATCTGCTAATTATACTCTCTGCTCTAAGAGCACACCTTACGATTCGTGATCAACTGACCAATGAATAACCACCACAGCATGGAGTACGACCTCCGTTGCCTGAACAGGGCGATGCCGAACACTTAGCTGTCCGATTTGAAGGGCCACTGAACAAAAAATATCTGAGGTAGCCAAAAGGGAATGTTGGAATATCAATCTCTATAATTTCTGAGCAGAATTTTTCAGTATTTCTATTTGGGTTTGATCCTTTTGAGTCATTTCTCTTTGTTTCCTTTATCCTATGTCTATTTCCTTTTTTCTTCCCATAACTAGAGATCTCCGGTAGATAATCAATGTGTTAGAGTGATTCGAAATAGTTCCCCCATCTTCATCTTCCTCTTTTCTTCACCTGTGTATAGAATAAACCCTTCAAACCATTGAATTACCGACTCATAAATGCAAGAGAAAGTTTTACAAGCCTTTCTGCACAATCACACATCTAGTGGTAAAGTTCAAAAAGGTCATCCAAATTAAAGCCATTCACCCTTCAAAGAATTGTTTTTGCTGATTGTGAAATCAACAAACGCACACGCATGGGCATCCGGCTTGAGTCGATTGACAAACTCTGTGATCGGTATGCGTCTGACAAAGACCGCACGGCCAAGTGCCGTTGTACGGGCAATTCAGGTCCGAAAACCAGTTCGACCAAACTCCTGGAGAAATAAATTTCTTAGCTTTTCCTTATGATTTCAAACTTTTTTATATTTATTCCAAAAATCAAATCATCAAATTTTGCTAAAACTCAAACGAACGTACAGTACTGGACAATGAAATATCATATTTGAAAAACGATCGTCACTTTCGCGCGTCTGTAACTCCCTTGTCTTTGAGTTTAAACTATTAGTGTTATACATTTTCTGAAAGCTCTTTTCAAGGGCTACACAATGGTAATATTAATATTTAGAAATACGGTAAAGACAAGGGAGTTACAGACGCGCGAAAGTGCGAAAGTGTTTTTTCAAATATGATATTTCATTGTCCAGTAGTGTACGAGTCTATTTTTATGGAGTCCTTAGTGCTTAGATGCTTTAAGATTTAACTAAAGAGACAACAGACCTCCTGGTGGGCAAGGACAAGGATGCATCTTCTCTAAATTTTTGTTCAATTGCCTTCCGTTAAGTAGAACGAACTAGTCAAAGCGCATTTTGGCGCCGCATAATCATCGGGTCTTTTGATGGCCTTGCAGAGAAATTTTTTCGTGAGTGGATTGAGAAACTGAAAGCTAATGATGAGCACATACAATTTCCCCATCGCTGGTCAACCCTTGCATGTCCTGCCGCGCAGAATGGAGCTGTTGGACAAGCGTTGGCCGTACATGGGACAATTCGAGAGTAGACACCTCTAAACAGCTAGGATTGAAATCAGTTGAGCCTTAATGTCATTAGTGAACAGATTTGTAAGCCTCAAAGAAGATTCTATAGATTTTATGATGATGAAATCGGGGTATTATCGGCAATTCAAAAATTGGATTGTCGATTGAGTTCGATAAGAAAGTGATTAGCCAATTTATTCGCTTGTCATCTCACAATTAGCTATATAGCTTACTGCTTTGAAGGTAAGGTGAACGAATAAAAAGATCATGATACTTAAGGTAAAAGGTGAAAATGCTTCAAGGCGGATGGCGGAAGGCGTCAATTGTAGCATGCAAGTAGGCAACATCAAGCTCGTTCCATGCTTTAAAGAGCGCTTTCTTTAAACTGTTCAATGTGGTTAATCGCCTTAGCTTCTAAGCTCAGAAGTTCCAATTTGGCGCATGAGCTGGACTGATCGTTCAGGGACTTTTCTCGCACTTTTTTGATGATCGTCTTATTCACGAGCCGCGTAGAAACTACGAAATTTCGAGAAATTGCACGCGCTAAAAGCCCCCGCTGATGCAACGCTATGATCGAGTTTCGATGAACACTCGGCTTGGCCATCTCTAAAAAAAATTAGATAATCTTGGAAATTATTCAAGTAACAGGGGTAAAAATGAAATGAAAACATGAAAGAAGCAAGTGATATAAAATAACAACATATAGGTGACACTAAATGGTCACAGATAAAGCTGACATTCCCAGGCCCATATTTATGACGCATCCTGTACATTACGATAAGAAGAATGTTATCAGAGAGCTAACGTAAGAGTTATCCGATTTCTTTTCATTCCATCTCTATCTAAAAACCGTTTAGAAGGGGCCGATGGGTTACGACTCTAAGTAAGACTTTTGACTCACTGGCATCCACAGCCATAACCCCAAGATTCGCACGTCCTGGTCTGGGCTTTTTTCCCGTAAAATCCACAGCCTTTCGTGCAAGTCGTGTGGTCTGCCCACGGTGACCAGATTCCTAAATTTTGCTCAAGCTTTGCGCATTTATCGATTCCAATTTACCGTTAACCGGGCAAGTCGTGCAAACGGGCAGAGTCGCCATGACAAAACGAATGGCTGAATATTTTGTTATTTAAGACAAAAATTGACAGATTTGCTACCGATAAACAGGAAAATTGCGAAAGTTTTGAGAAACATGACTTTATGAGCTCAATTTTCGAATATTGTCCTTGATTTTATACGTTCACTTTTCAATAAGTTCACCAAAATGTTCAAATGAACCTCGTTTTGCAAGCGAAGCTCCAAATGTGCTCTTTTTTCGGGCGGCAAGTAGAAAATCTGTTCTCTCTTTGTGGCGTCTCAGCACAAATACAGCGAAAAGATCAGGGTTCAAAAATCGAGAATTGTTTACGAATTTATGTCAAAATGAAGTCATGGTTCTGATTTTGGTGAAACTCACTTGCAACTTGCAAAGTCGCGTTTCAACAACGAACCTTGCAACTTGCAAGCTTGCAAGTTTTATAAGTTTATGAGAAGGTGACTTGCAAACAACTTTTCGACATTCGAACACATGGAGAGTCAAAATCTAACAATTGTAGTAATGAAGTCATAATAGATCCAACAAACAAATTGGAAAATTGGCCAACACTTTGGAAAATCTTTCTGAAAAACTTACTTCAACAGACGAGGCTGGAGGTTTTTTTGAAATAACTTTTATTAAATGTGTCAAATATAAAATTTTCAGTACAATCAGAACAAATCAAAGTCGATAGGAAAAACTTTTGCGACCTGATGATGAATGTTTTGATATTCTTTTAGAAAAAGGGGCTTTTGTTTCCTCCATTGACTGCAAAAATAGTGCAATTCAATGGATGCGAAGCATCAAAAAGGGAACAATTCAAACCATCTTTCATCTTCACATCTCCCCCTCAGACTTTCTTGTTTTCATCCAAATATTGGCAAGAGTCCCAAGAGTCCCAAGAGATGAAATACACTTATCTGAACCTTCTGATATACAATTTTTCCAAACCCGATCATAGCATGAGCGTCGAGATCTATGCAATCTGCCAAGATCTCCGGACCCACGCTTGAAATCGTTATATCGAATATATTAGGTTGATGCAAAAGTCTTTTTCATTTTTTTCGTACTTCTTTTGAAAAATAACAAAGTCATCAATTAACCTATGGTTTGCTCTAAATGAAAAGTGTTTATTGTTCAATTTCCCATCTTTTTAAGTCAATTTGGGTTCACTTTCAAGCAAATTCGAGAGTGAAAACGGGGTTTTCATAAAAATCTATAAAAACCTCTATAAAGAAATTGGCTGAATCAATTTCTCTGAAAATCTGAAAAGATATCTAACTTTTTGTGCTCTATCTTTTATTTATTAACATCAAGATTGGTTTCCTTAGCTAAAGCGTCTAAAATGCATCATCGAGCCGTCGCCTTTTCTGACTACCCGACTTCAGGCTCTCAAGAAAATCTAGGCATAAGACATTTTTAAACCCGTTTTAATGTCATTTTGCAGAAAAATAATTGGCCTTTCGAATGCAATAAACCGTTGTTCAATTGGTGCATTTGTTACTTTTTAACGGAAGTACGAAAAAAATGAAAAAGACTTTTGCATCAACCTAATACTTGTGGAAAATAAGAATAATTACATATTTGCTGTATTTTCCGTCGCTGGTAGTTCAGTGGTAGAATATATACTATATTGGCAGAGATATCTTTATTCCAAAAAAGATTCGCCATTATTACCAGCTATTTTCTTCCATTTTTTGCGCAGACTTCGGATGCCTGATTCGAAAAATTTGAGGTCCCGCGACATCTAAAGTAGTCTTGCACCCAAATTTCGACTTCTTCAAGATGGTTAAACTTTAGATTTGCAAGAGAGTGTTGCATAGACAGGAAAAAGTGGTGATCTGAGGAAGCAATATCAGGCGAATAGGGCGGATGAGGCACAAGTTTCCAGCCTAATTCTTCTATGGTGTTTTGAGCCAAGTTTGATGTGTGTACCCGGGCATTGTCAGCGAGAAAATGGATTGTCCTTGGATTAACACCTCTTTCTCGTAGAATTTCATCAACTTTCTTCAGCTGTTCGGCGTAGCTTCGAAGAGTTATAGTTTTTGAAGATTTTCGTAATTCAAAGTAAACGATTCCTTTCATATTCCAAAAGACCGACAGCATAACTTTCTTTCCGTGAAGTTCTGGATGTGGTGTCGGAATCGACCTTTCTCCTTTGCTCAACCATTGCCTTTTGCGTGTTGTATTATTGAAATATGTCCACTTTTCGTCCATCATCAACATGCTTTCAAAAAAGCACTGCCTGTAGCCTTTTTCAATAGGATCCGAGATAATAAAACTCGATTGGCTTTGTTTTTAGGGCAAATTCATGTGGGACCCATTGACCACAACGATTCCTTTTTTCAATGAACTAAAGGTTTTGAGAAATTGTGTTCGGATCACATTTAAAGTATTCGGCTAACTCAGACAAAGTTTGAATTGGATCCGACCCGACAATCTCCAACAACTCCGCACTATCGAGGGCAACTGGACGATATCCATGAGGCTCATCTTCCAAGCTCTCATCTCATTCCAGAAAATTCCCGGCAATTCCTTTCACCCAAAATGTTTTCTCCGAATGCTTCACAAAGATTCCGGTGTGACTCCGATGCTGATTTCTTCATTTTGAAGTCATAGAGAAGACACGCCCGCAACACGGATTACATTTAAAGTATTCGGCTAATTCGGACAAAGTTTGAATTGGATGCGACTCGACAATCTCCAGCAACTCCGCACTATCGAGGACAACTGGACGATATCCATGCGGCTCATCTTCCAATCTGTCATCCCCTTCACGAAAACGTCGAAACCATTCCTGGCAAGTGCTTTCACTCAAAATGTTTTCTCCGAATGCTTCACAAAGATTCCGGTGCGACTTCGATGCTGATTTCTTCATTTTGAAGTCATAGAGAAGACACGCCCGCAACACGAGTTTTTGATCCGTCATCTTGTACTTAAAATTATGTGATATTCAATGATAGCAATAGCTGTGAAAATAATTAAAATGAATAAGCAATAGTAATACAATATAATACAATTTAAAACGGACCATCACACCTTCAAATAAAAAAAACTTTCGTCCTCGGAAGTAATTCGCAGTTTCTTTTGCAAGTACCTAATAGTAAACATCCATTGGTTGGATCATGCTCGTCGTTCCTGCGGCAATGTTTTCATTTTCAGCTCATGTCCCCGAGTTACTGCCTGTTGAATAAAGCTGTGGTCTCGAAAGCTCGTCCACAGGAGTGTATACTTTTTAGATGCATTTCCGTCACAGATGGGTGATTGTCTACATACAAGTTTATATGAATCGGATATGAAAATAAAGTGATTTTATGATGTTGAACAACTTTCGTATGTTACAAAAATTTGTCAGTTTTTGTGTTTTTTACAGATTTTCAAAAGCAAAAATCCTTTTGCTTTTGAATAGTTGGCATTCAACAAAACTTTATTACCTCACAGAAAATAAAAAGGTTTTTATTAGAACATTCAATGGGCCGGGGCAGCAACTATTGGGTAAATTGGTTGTTCACTCATCAGACAAGCGACATTACGTGACGATCTCTCAAGTCTCACGTATCCTCGCTCTCCCCATTCGACTCCCCATCTGCAAAATATTTGATAAGCTATTTCCTGGCACTAAATGCGATAAATTCAAAGTTTCAAAATAAAAATTCTTACGAGTTCTTGATGAGCCAAAACGGGCCTTCTTTTTCATCAACACCATATCCTACTAATAAGACTGCATGATTGACTTTTTGATCTGAGCACGGATCATCTCGATACACACCAGAATCTGAAAAATTTCTGTATACGATTTAGAATTTCGATAAACTCCGTAAAACATATTATAATGATGGTTAAACTTTAAAAACTGACCTTCTGTGTAATTGTAGCGGAAATCGTTGGACGCAAAAAGACTTGCAGCAAGTGGGCCGATTTCAAATAAAGCCGACTGCAATTTCTAGCATTATATCAATTTAAACAAACACTTTAACATTTTCGAAAAGAACCTTACATTGCAAAGTACCAACAATTTTCTTATTTTGTTCATACTTTAACAACTAACTTTTATTGTTTGTTCATCTGTTGAAACAGCCATGTATCCAGAATCAGCGGCGATATTTTGACTTCTATTATTGTGACACTCCTGCTCCTAAACATTATATCACATTTGTTGAATACTTAGCAACTGTCTAAAATTTTTAGCGACTATCTAGTAGCTTTTTGCTTTTGAAAAAACATGCACATAAACTCAAAAAAATTAATGATACTGCTCTGGAAAATCTTATTTCTTATCTTATTTCGAATACATATATATGTTACGTCCGAATCTGAGGAGACGTCCATCTCCGATCCGGACGTCCGAATCTGAGGAGATTCATTCTCCTCTGAAACGGACGTCCGACTCAGAGTCGCAGTCCATCTCTGATTCGGACGTCCGTTTCGGAGGAGAATGGATCTCCTCAGATTCGGACGTAACATATACAAGGTGGCTACAAAGTATTGCGACAAATCAAAAGGCATTTCAATTTTTTAAAGGAGCCTATCCTTGCAGTTTATAAAGCAAACAAACAATTGCTGAAAAATTTCAACTTCAGTATTTGAAAAGATTCATTTTAAAAGTTTGGTAGATTTGAAAAGAGCTGAAAAAGGTTCTGAATCAGTTTCTCTTTTTCTTTTCTGAAAAAAAAAAGAAAAGAAAACTTCTAATATTTATATTTATGTAAAAAACTCTATTTTTTGTTGAAAGGTTAAATGTTTTCTGAAGAATTTACAAATGCATTTCTTGACTTCATGATCTGACTAACTTTATGATAAATTGACTATAGGAATGGTGTAAAAAAATATCTATTAGGTGTGTGAAAAAGTAATCCACGTTTTTAACGTTTAAATATAAAAGACCATAAGTTTCGTTAAAATAATTTTTATTCAACGAAGTAATCACCATTCGAAAGAAGAACCTTTTGCCAACATTCTACAAGTAAAGACATTCCACGATAATAAAAATCTTGGTCCTTAGAGGCGAAGAAAAGATCCACCTCGGTTTTGACATCTTCTTCGGAATTGAACCATTTATTGGCCAAAAAGTTAAACAGAGACAAAAATAAATAATAATCAGATGGAGAAAGGTCTGGACTATAAGGTGGATGTGGTAAAACCTCCCATCCAACACTCTGGATTTTTTGTCGAGTCTGTAAAGAGACATGTGGTCGCGCGTTATCATGGAGCAACAGGACACCTTTCCTATTTACCAATCATGCGCGTCTCTCAGTGAGTTTTTGTTGAACTGCATCAATCTCGGCACAATAGACATTCGAATTAATCGTTTGGCCACGTGGTAAATAGTCTATGTGCATAATACCAGTCCACCAATCCAGTCCACCAAACTGTCATTCAAATTTTTTTAGGATGGAGGCTTGTTTTGGGCATTATCCCAGCAGGTTTACCACGTTCCACCCACTATCCAGACCTTCTAGAATTATCGTAATCAACCCATTTTTCATCACACGTAACAATCCGATCAATAAATGGCTCAAGTTGATGTTTACTAATCAAAGAATTGGCGATTGTAAGGCGCATTGTTTTGTTTTCTTCGCTCAATTCATGCGGTATCCATTTGTCCAACTTTTTGATAAAATTCATGGCATCCAAGCGTTTCCTTACGGTTGACCCATCACAATTTAATGTAAAGCCTACTTCTGAAGAGGTTGAACGAGGGTTTTCGAGAAGACAGCGTCTTATTTGGTCATCAGATAAAAATAAAAAACGTGGATTACTTTTTCACACACCTAATAGATACTTTTTAATTTCTTGTGAGACCGTGTCTCGATGTGGTTCAATGGTAGATATTTTGAAAAGGCACAGTTTATCAAAACTTTCCCTTATTAGGGCAAATTTCGCTCAAAATGAAGCAAGTTGGCACTATCACAACTATTTCAACACTTGCAAGTGAAAAAGAATGAAGAAAAAAAGGCACACAATTCACTCAACACGAAGCTTAAATAATGGGTTTTTTTAAGTACACAAATTACAACAAACAGACAACTGAATGTTGTCTAGTAGCTGATTACGGTATCTTATCCATCAGCTTTAAATTTTAACTTGTGTATTGAATTTGACTAACTGCAGAGCAGTGGCAATTTGCCACAAATGGTTGATGTTTTCATTTCTGCTTTATAGGAAAAAATGCGTTATATTGCAAACTTCTAAACTATTATATTATTAATGTAGCGTTCAAATCTTTTTGAAGTTCTTTCCAGGGTCAAAAATGGTAACAATACGTTGTGTTGAATCCAATTATTTCTATTTACGGTTGTAAAAATCAAACAAAAATGTTCGTATATTGAAAAAATCAGTTTCAAAAGAAGTTTACTTCAGTCAAACTTCTAAATGTTTAAAATATTGCTTCTCTTTTTGGTGGTGGGTGGAAAATGGGTAAATGATTAGAAAATAATAATCTTCAAATGTTTTCTAAGACTAAACCATCAAATATTAAAATTTAAACGTGTATTAGGTTGACAAAAAGTCATTTCGCGATTTTTCAGAATCTTTAAACTGAACCACCAGATATCAAAACGCTGTTTGATGGCTTTTTTCTAATAAAGTTAAAAAGTTAAAGTTAAAAGTAAGTTAAGTTCTTTCTAATAAGTCAAAAAGTTGAAAACTATCCGCTTTTGAATCAAGGTTATCTATGTAGTAAACCCCGGTCCCCAAGTTCAATCCTAAATTTTTGGCCCCTGGTCCGCCCCGGCCCGCTAAGATGCCTATCAAATTTATCATTATTGAGTTGACATTGCACTTTTTGCGATTTAATCCTTCCAACAGTGGACAATTTATTTTGAACAAGAACAAAAAGCAAAAGAATTGTGATTCTCATCCGGCCACGGGACCCATCGGTGGATTGCAATAGACCCAGATAAAGTCTTTCTAAAATTGAGCTCACTAATACAAGCAATATAAGAAATCAAGTTCAATTCTTTACAACCGTTTAAAAAGAAAACTTTATATTGCAATTTCGCACTAGAAAACCTACTCCCACAAATTGCCATTTCGGCCCCGAGGGTCCAACAGCACAATGGAAATATTTGTCGGCTGTTGATGTGACCTGAAATGAATGAGAAACGTCTCGTTCGTTTTGTTACTTACAAGGGAATGCCAACCAGGTGTGGTCGCCAAATGCAATGAGCTACTATTCGACGCAGATTTTTACGCTGATTCCGAATCTGCTTCCCGTTTTGCTAAATAGTCTGTCAAAAGTTATAAGCATGCAAGTCTTGTATGGAATTATAAAAATTATCCCTCGAGTTTATAAACAGATTTCCCAGAGGCTTTAAAAAGCAGTGGTGGCCGAGTGATAGTAGCCAAGAATACAAGACTCTCGAATTCGAGACCGTCGTTCAACACTTTTTGCTTTTTTTAAAGGTAAATGATCTCCATTTTAAATCTTTTTCAAAGTACTTCTCATAAAAATGTTTTCTTTTAAATGTTTACTTTTAACATTAAACAACAATCATTAAAGTCTAAAACATCAAGTCTTCACGGCATTGATGACATTTGTGAAAGGGGCGAGTTTCATTTTCTTTTTAGTTTTTTTTAATGCTAAAAGTAAACATTTTTATGAGAAGTACTTTGAAAAAGACTCTTATTTTAAATGGAGATCGATTACCTTTAAAAAAGCAAAAAGAGTTGAACAACGGACTCGAACTCGAGAGTCTTGTATTCTTGCCCACTCGGCCACCACTGCTTTTTAAATCCTCTGGGAAATCTGTTTATAAACTCGAGGGATAATTTTTATAATTCCATACAAAACTTGCATGCTTATAACTTTTGACAGTGTGCTATTTAGCAAAAATGGAAAGCAGACTCGGAATCAGCATAAAACTCTATGTCGAATAGTATATAGCTCGTGTCATTTGATCACCACACCTGGTTGGCATTCCCTTGTTAGTCGAATTGTCAAGGCAATTAGTCTCACCGGTCCCGGCACATTTTCATCATCCAAATAGTCGTAATTGACATTGTTCATATAGTCCGAATCTCCCTGTGCAACCACACCAAACCAAGCCTAGGATTGATTGCTTGGATTGAATTCTCGCTAATCAATTACATAGGTACTATTTGGCAGCGGAGAGCAGACATAGTTGGCAATCTGACAGCCATTCTCATCGGTTCTAGAAGGATTTCATGTATTTGAATGAATTTGTTCTCTTACGAATATGTGACATTGAAGGTGCTGTTGTCGACAGTGTAAACGCGTTCGATGAAGTTCTCTGGACAGCCACTTGTGCACACTTAAAATCAATTATCAGTAATAAAAATTTCTGAACGAACTCGGAGTTGTTGTCGTTGTGGTGGTGGTCGTGGTCGTCTGAAATTTGAGATCATTTCATCTCCACAGATTTGACTACTGGATTAAATGAAAGAATCGACCAGACTATCGCTTTTTATCATTTTTCTTGTTAGCTCAGCTTCTTGGTTCTTCTAACTGGTCTTAAATCTTGGAAACTGCCTGATTGTCCATCTATTCTTAAATCTTGAAAACTGCCTGATTGTCCATCCAATATATTCTTGAACGAGTTGAGTCGGAAAAGATTTTTTAGCAATATTTAATTTAATATCTACTATACAGGGTGTTCAAAAAAAGTCAGCTCTCCTTAATTTTCCAAAAGTTTCTGGTGGCTCCTGGTGGCCCTTGTGGTGTCAAAGTGAATATTTTGGGTTAGAAAATTCTGGATATTTTATCATTTTTCCCCGATTTCATGACTTTCTTATGTATGAAATTTCTGAGCCACCATGGTCACCACCACCATGAGACTTTTGCCAAAAAAATTGAAACTTTTTATTATATTATTAGGTTGATGCATAAGTCTTTTCGTTTTTTTCGTACTTCTGTTAAAAAGTAACAAATTCACCAATTAATCTATAGTTTGCTCTATAAAAAAAGTGTTTTTTTTGTTCAATTTCCATCTTTTTAAATCAATTTCGGTTCACTTTCAAGCAAATTCGAGATTGAAAAACGCCTTTTTCGTAAAAATCTATAAAAACTCTACGGAAAAATTGGCTGAATCTCTATCTTTTATCTATTGACACGAAGATAGGTTTTCTTTAGCTAAGGTGTCTAAACCGCATCATCGAGTTAGCCCTTTTTGACTACCCGACTTCATACTCTCAAGAAAATCCAGGCATAAAATATTTTTAAACCCGTTTTAATGTTATTTTGCAGAAAAATAATTGGTTTTTCTAATGAAATCAACCGTAGTTTAATTGGTGCATTTGTTGGCTTGAAACGGCAGACGAAAAGGAACAAAAAGACTTATGCATCAACCTATTAGATCGAGACATCGTGGTATCATATTAGAGTTAATATATAAACTAAAATTTTTAGCCAAACACTTTATTCATCTACATTTATCTGTCGTACATAAGAGATTTTCAAATCGCATTTTTTTAAAGAAGTGTCCCGTTTTTCCAAGGAAACGCTGATCATTAAAGTGTATGGTTAAGTTGTAGCTGTGGCGAATTGCCACTGCTCTGCAGTTAGTCAAATTCAATACACAAGTTAAAATTTAAAGCTGATGGATAAGGTACCGTAATCAGCTACTAGACGATATTCCGTTTGTTGTAGCTTGTATACTTAAAAAACCCGTTATTTAGGCTTTGGTTTTGAGTGAGTTTTTTTTCTTTATTCTTTTTCACTTGCAAGTGTTGAAATAGTTGTGATAGTGCCAACTTGCTTCATTTTGAGCCAAATTTGCCCTAATAAGGGAAAGTTTTGATAAACTGTGCCTTTTCAAAACATCTACCATTGAACCACACCGAGACACGGTCTCACAAGAAATTATATAGATCAAATCATAAACATATATTTCTTACAGTAGTTATCCTAATAGTGTTTACTTTGCACCATGATGCCAGTAGAAAGTTTTAGTTTTATGGGAAAAATCTCACGGTGGTGGCTCAGAAATTTCATGTATGTCATGAAATCGGGGAAAAGTAAAAAAATATCAAGAATTTGCGCGCCCAAAACATTCACTTTGGCACCACAACAACCTGCAGGAGCCATCAGAAAGTTTTTGGAAAATTAAGGGAAACTGGCTTTTTTTGAACACTTTGTATATAATTGAGGGCTGTCTGTCTGTCTGTCCGTCCGTCCGTCACACTCTGGATCTCGGCTCCCCGTGAATCGATTTCGACAAACTTTTTTTTGATCGATAGGGAATTAAAAATGAATAGGCACATACTTTTTGGTTAAAACAAGTTTTTCATTAAAAATCCGTAAAAAATCAGAAAAACCACTTGGCCACGCTTATTTTTGCCTTCGGCGGCCCTTAGGGAAGAGCATGGTCGAGGTGGTTAGCGTCCCGTCTACAAAACGACTGGTTGCGTCAGGTTCGATTCCCGTAAGGTTGCGTCAGGTACGATTCCCGTAAGGTTGCGTCAGGTTCGATTCCCGTAAGATTGCGTCAGTTTCGATTCCCGTAAGGTTGCGTCAGGTTCGATTCCCGTCCGTTTCAAACTTTTTTTTACTTTAAATGTTTTCAAGCATGGAGTTGAAGCATGCAAATTCGAGTTGCCCTTTTAATTCGAGAGATCAAACTATGCATTAACCCCAAAACGCCCAAAACACCAAAACAGCCGTTAGGCGGGTTTTTTGGTTGATGTTAATATGTTACATACATACAGAATATGTTCAATTATTCTTTCAATTCAACAAATAAAAACCTATTTTAAACAAATCCCCGAAAGACACAACCAACCGGCATACAAGCGGGCAATTTGATGACCGGATCGTCGGGCAACGTGGGACCACAGTGGGGATTGCTCGTGATGTTGTTGATGATCGTCCTCACCTAAGCATTTAGATAGACGAAAGAGTTCCTTTAACTTTGATTTGAATCATTCTTTCAAAAAAAAAATTCGCTCACCGATGAATAACCAGGGCAGCATGGGGCATGGCCTCCATTTCCTGTACAAAAATCAGCCGAGCACAAGGCCGTTCGATTCGTTGGGCCACTGAATGGGGAACTTTAGCTAGTTAAAATAGGGTTTTAAGTAAATTAATAATAATAATTAGTGTGCAAAGGAGATGATGGTTTGGCGCTGAATTATCAAGATGTAAAGCTTGTCTAAACTTGTAAAAACTTGCAATTTTAATTTCTACTCTTTTTCGTAAAAAGCTCAGAAACAAGCACATTCTCTCAGATTATCAGCTTGGAAAGATTGCCCCGATTTTACAAATTGTACAAAACTTTCAAGTTCTCCGTTTAGATGATTTTGTAGTTCGAAACAGAACTAGTTAGTTTTCAAGTGGCTTTGATGTACTGGAGTCCAGAAGATGTTACATGATGGCTGGTATTTCATGGATAAACTATCGTGCTCGGTCCGAATCAACTATCCGGTAAAAGTCGCACCGGATACCGGACCGGATTAGACGCTTGAAAATATCGAAAAAATGAAAATATCAGACCGGACGGTCTGGACACCTCTGTTCTAAACAATTAGTTCACTAAAAAACGTAACGTACATGTGTTCTACTTTGTTTGATTTTATTATCACATGGCTTTACCAAAAGATAGGGTATAATAATGTAAACATAATAAAACTGATCAGGCAATTAGTCTAAACTATGTTAAACTAAACTTCGCTAGTCTAGTATACTAGTCTAAACTAGTCTAAACTAAACTTCAATCCTTAATAAAACTCACACGCAAGGGCATCCGGCTTGAGCCGATCGACAAACTCGATATTGCGTGTGCTTTTGACAAAGACCACACGGCCAGGCGCCATTGAACGGACAACTCGTCTCCGTGAACCAATTCGACCAGATTCCTGAGGAAAATGGGTAAATTCATGAGGCCTTCTTTCGCTGAACTGCAATAACTAGAGAAACCCAGAAATCTAAAGCACAACAGATCATCATAAACGTTATTGTCAATAGAGTGTGGACATATAAAATTATGTCTTCTAAAAACTGGTCCCAACTACCGTAATCTTGCAATTCATAGGTCTAGGTTTGGGACAAGCATTCTAGAGCATGGAAAGAGGCTGTAGAATTATTTGGAGAAGAGCACCTTTTAGAAAACAGGATTTAAACGATTTGATTTGAGGCGAACACAGTAGACTTGTTTTTCGGTCTGTTTCAGCTCGGTGCACATCGAAATTCCGGTTTATTTCGGCTTAATTCGGTTCGATTCGAATTTTGCGCCGAGTTGCACTGAACCAAACCGAAAAACAGGTCTAAAATCCGGTCTAATTGTCGAGGTGAAGGTTCTTTATCATAATGACACTAAGTTTTTGAGCTTCTTTGAATTCATAGCAAAACTGACCTCCATATGGACAAGGGCAGGCATGCAAAACCTCTGAATTTTTTCTTATCTTCGTTTTTTGTGGCAACAAACTGTTCAAATTGCAATTCGGAGCTTTATAGTCGTCGGCTCTGGCGATCGCCTTACAGAGATATTTATTTGTAGCCGTGTTGAGATACTGTAACAGAAATTAGCGCCAATTGATACTATTGATAATACTCAACCCTAGCATGTCCTGCAGCGCAGAATGGAGCCGTTGGACAAGAATTTGCCGTGCATGGAACGATTCGCGAATAGTTGCCCCTGGAATGTTTTTCGCATTTGAAAACGAACTCTCTAATAGCAAGAATTCTTATTCTGTTCGTTCTCCCCAAAGCATAGGGTGTTTTTCCTAAAAATAAATACTATTAGGTTGATGCATAAGTCTTTTTGTTCCTTTTCGTCTGCCGTTTCAAGCCAACAAATGCACCAATTAAACTACGGTTGATTTCATTAGAAAAAGCAATCATTTTTCTGCAAAATAACATTAAAACGGGTTTAAAAATATTTTATGCCTGGATTTTCTTGAGAGTATGAAGTCGGGTAGTCAAAAAGGGCTAACTCGATGATGCGGTTTAGACACCTTAGCTAAAGAAAACCTATCTTCGTGTCAATAGATAAAAGATAGAGAAAAAAAAAGTTTGATATTTCGCCAAAATTTCAGAGAAATTCATTCAGCCAATTTTTCCGTAGAGTTTTTATAGATTTTTACGAAAAAGGCGTTTTTCACTCTCGAATTTGCTTGAAAGGGAACCGAAATTGATTTAAAAAGATGGAAATTGAACAAAAAAACACTTTTTTTATAGAGCAAACTATAGATTAATTGGTGAATTTGTTACTTTTTAACAGAAGTACGAAAAAAACGAAAAGACTTATGCATCAACCTATTAATTTGATCAAATTTGCAATGCAATCCTTTCTTTTTGTCTCTTTAATTACATTTTTGATTATTTTCCTTGAGAATTTTAGTCGGGGAATGCCCGCAGTCCCGCAGGCCAGTCTTTTGCCCGCCAGTGAGGGTACCTGCATTTTCATGAGTAGGGGTGTGGGCAAGTCATTTCCTAAACTGACAAGGGAACCCCACCAGAGCATTGTTTGGCTGGAAACAGAGTGTTTCTGATGCAGAATTTCACGGGGATTCCGAATCTGTAATCAGACGTTCCTAAGGCCTCCAGAAAAAGGTATTCAACTTTTTCTTTTCGTGGCATTTTTTTTTGCAATCATCGACGCGCAATAAGATCCCTTTTCACGCAATTAAAAACCAATCTAACACAAAAAAATCAAAAAATCAAAAAAGATGGCGGCACGGGGAATTAAACCCGTGCAAAACGGAGATCTCTCGTCCGCCATGCAAGCGCACTACCCACTGAGCCACCGAGGAATCTGGAAGGACACTTTATTTCCAGTTAAACAATGTCAAGGCTCTGATGGGCGTTCCCTTGTGAGAAACTACACACTTTGTCTAAATCTATTCCCGAAACAGCATGGATACTAGAAAGAGTTCGAAAGTAAATGACATCTTTTATAAGGAATTCAAACTCACAATGTGAGGACTGAAATTTGCATTTATTCAAATTTCCTAGTGAAAAAACACTCCATCATTTGGGGGAAACAAACCCGATCTGTACCGGAATTTCATTATTTAATCAATTTCTTTTCGATATGTACAGAGAAATTGCCATCAACATTAAACAGATTAATAAACTTGGTTCTATTTTAGAATCTAATTAGAATTAGAATCTAATCAGAGTTGAGCCGGTCAGTTCGCATCATCAACAATTAATTTACATTTATTCTAAGTGTCTATAGATTTATGCAGATCTTTGATTTCTCTATTTCGATTAAATTCATCGATCTTTTCGACTCACTTGCATGGACAGCCCCTGCCAAACGATTGACACGTCCTCGTTTGGGCCTTTTTCCCGAAGAATCCGCACGTTTTTGTGCAAGTCGTATAGTCTGTCCAACCCGACCAAATCCCTGTTGATTTGATTTTTGAAAAGAATTTCTTCGAAATCGACAAACCGCCAACTGGGCAAGTCTTGCAAACGGGCAGAGTCGCCTCGAAAAGAGAAAAAGCTGAAAATTACACGCATCAAAGTAATGAGAGAAAGCTTCTACCGGCAAAGAGAAAAATCACCACAGATCTGTAAAAAGTGACCATTCCGATAGATAGTTATCGGGTTTTGTGATCGATTTTATACGTTCACTTTTCAATAAACTCGAAAAAAGCCTAAGCCAGCGTCAAACTTTTGCAATATTTTCAAAATGAAGCTTTTTTGTGATGCATCAGAGTTGAACTCGTGTTCCCCTTTCAGCAACAAATTCAAAAGATTGAGGTTCATTTTACGGGGAGTAAATCCTCTCGAAAACAGCGGCCAACACAGGCGGAATGCCGAACACTAAGTACATACGTTGTTCCTTTGACATCGGAGACCACTGAAATGCTAAACGGATAAAATTTAGAATGGAATTTGACTTAGAATTTACAGGGATCAATATTTGAATCAAGTTTGTAACTACAACGTGGGCTTAGGTAAGATATAAGGTGTTCAACACTCCCCCACTCTATATTTGACTCTTAACATTTCAATCTGCTAAGCAATTTTGATTTGACATATAAAATATTGTTACAATACTTTCACAAAAAAGAAAGAAAACTAAAAATAGTACAGTAAGACTACAGTTAGGAAACACAGGTACAAAAAGATTAAATATAGGGCATATTTGACATGGCAATAAGATCTAATTCGTTTATAGATACTTTCAATTTTCCTACAGACGAGAAGATACCAGACGGGAGATTATTCCAAGTCCAAGAGGGGAACTTATTCCAAGTCCAAGACAGAAGCCTACTCCAAGTCCAAGACAGAAGCCTACTCCAAGTCCAAGAGGGGAACTTATTCTAAGTCCAAGAGGGGAGCTTATTCCAAGTCCAGGACAGAAGCCTACTCCAAGTCCAAGAGGGAAGCTTATTCCAAACCCTACTAACACGGTTCGCAAAAGAATGATAAAGGGAAAGATGATGGGGATGAGAACCGACCGAAATTTGATAAGGATGACTACGTGTACTTCTAGAAATTTCCACAATTTTCAAGAGGCTTTGAAATTCTGGATGCGACATAGGGTGGAAAAGAATTTTATAGCAAAAAAATCAGATCAAAGTAAATACGGGGATATAAAAGGGGTTTTAAATTAAAAACTATAAGTCTAGTCTCATAATTTGGAATAAGAGAAGAAGGGAAACAACCATTCTCACCTATGAAACTCATTTGGACTCAACTGAGTGAAACGTTTATCTAACGGAAATTAAAAATCGTCGAAATAAAGTGAATTGTGACTCTCGCTTTGGTAAAATCACGATAAATGAGGAAAGAATTCAGTCATCAACCAATCAATCCAATCGTGTATTTCTTTTTACTTTGTTTTTCTTTTTAAAAAAAAGTAGGGATCAATAAATTTAATTGAAAAATCAACATTTCATTTCATTTTAGAGGTGCACAGGCAGGAATTGTCGGAAATTTGTCTAAAAGTAGGTTGTATTCATAAAATCGACCACGATTATCATTTTACCTTTGCCACATATCTTTTGAATCAAATATTCCCGATAGACTCTTGTCGCTGAGATCAAAATGAGACAATTGAAAGACGAATGAAAACTTTGAAACAAAGCCAGTGAAGAGAGAACTAGAAGTTTTGTGGCAATGTTTTGAGACTTACACAACTTACAAATGTTTTCAATTGGAAGTAAATTCAACACACTAAACGTCCCCAGCAATGGTGGTAGAATGAAAAAAGTGAGCAGAGCAAGAGACTGAAAAAGATTGAAATCGAAAAGTAATCTACTTCTGTAACCTGCAAAAAGAAAACAATTTGCAGATATTGAATCATTTCTTTCGTTTGTTGACTGACAGTCTTTTTCACTGAATTTGCATAGTGAAAAGTCAACCAAATAATATAGAACAACCAAGCTGTTCCAGAGGAAATCTGAAAATATTTTTTCAAAAAAAATTGCTTTGAGACTTTGAGATTAAATTAAAACCAGAATTAAAGCTGGGAAAGCTAATTTGGAATCCTGTTGTCGAGGATAGAAGACGATTGGTTGTTGATATGATTGACAAGTTGAGTCGACTTCTACAGTTGGCTTTAAATTGTTCAAATTGAGCCATTAATCAAAATTCTTAAGATTTCACTTACTTGTCTTTAAAGCCAAGAGAATGTATTCAATAGAATCGACAACTTCATATTCATTCGAGATAACAAAGCTGAGAACCAAAAAGAAAACAGTAGTAGCTCCAGTCGCAAAGCAATGCAAGAAAAATAGCTTTGGCGCATCACGAGAATAGCCAACAGCATGCAATTTATACAATAGAGAAAACAGAAGTGTTTCCAAGACCAAGGCCGCGAAATTTAAATAGTATTTCTAGAATTGGCATAGAAAAATCAGGGAAAACGGATTATTACTATGAGCTGTGCCTTGAAGTGTAAAGGTAATCCAAAAACGTCGCCAAAAGTGCACGCGGTCGATGGTAAAAGATAGATTGGCTCTGTCAGAAAAATACCAAAATCCATGCATTGAGAGAAGGTCTGGAAAAGAGATTCATAAATTGATAAAGAAAATCTGGCTCCTGAATTTCTAGATTTCAATTTCTCCGTAAATCCAACTACACTTCCGATTTGAATGTTTCGATAGAGTTTCGAGGCTGGCGATTTCACTTTGAACATTGTGAATAGAGTAAGGAGAGAAAGGGTGACACCCACTCCAAACGAGATTTTATAAAAAATTCCAATGATTGTCAGTTCATTGTTGGTCGGGCAAAACATGGCTAAAGTTGTGAGGGAAACTGATAAAATTGATTAAACTTATTTTTTTAAAAATTGATGATTCAAATTGATTAAACTTTATATAGATACTTTATTCAGGACCTGAGATAAAGTGCGCTAGATTTAAGATTAAAACACATGAATTCATACGCATAACACGAAAAGGGCCGATAAAAAGCAACACGATATAATATATGTAAAATGTGGGTAGCACAGATAACGTCAAGGATCCACTAGAGCTTCAGGATCAAGATCATCTACAGATAATTTAAAGGTTTCGAGACTATTGGACTCTCTCAAAACTCTGGGGAGTCGATTCCAAATTCTGGCAGTTCTTATTGGAAAAGAGTTATAAACAAACTTATTGGAGGTGACTGGAATTTCTAAAACAAAAGAACCTCTCCTTGAACTAACCGTGGGATTAACTTTGAATAAATCGCGAAAAAGAGGGATAGGTTGCCTGTCCTTTACAATTTTGAAACATTCTACTAAATCCGTGACCAAGTGGCGGTGTCTAGAAGATTTAAGATCAAAAATTTTGCGTCTATCTGTGTAATTAAAGTATGCAAATTTGGAAAAGTCCATGTTCCATAGAGCTACCTTAGTGTATCTCTGCTGGATTTTTTTCTAGGTGAGAGATATCAACTTGTGTATGTGGAGACCAAACTATAGATGCATACTCTAGAATGGGTCTCGAACTTTAAGAAAATTTCTTGTTAAATTGCTAAAAAGTACAAACGAAAAGATAAAAGAACTTTTTAAACTTTGCTTTTTACAAAAATCTCTATAATTGTCGGCTAAACTGTTTGTTGTCGGAAAGAATGACTTGTACAGAAAAAGTCAATTGCTGCTTGCGATTTTCAAAATAAAGTAGTTGAGCTTTTCTTGGAAAGAGAACAAATTTTATTTCAAATAAACTTTTCATGACAAGAATTGTGGTAATTGGTTGGAAAAAAAAAGAAAACGCTTTAATCTTTGTACTCGAAATAAGAAAATATTTACAGTAGCGGACATAATTTTAGCATATCTTTTGTTTTTACCAAAACTTTGTTGCAATTTAAGCTATCAAGCCAAAATTTGCCCTGAACGTAGAAAATCTCCTAAAGTTAGTATTTTACCATCTAAAAAATTCTCACATTCTGTTTATAAGACTTTTCAAGAATTTTAGTGTATAGCTGAACGACATAATTATAGCATATTTAAACAACTATTTATAAAAACAATTAAAATCAATGAAATCCTCAAAAGAGCTATCATAAATTATCATAATCGTATTAATATTTTGTCGGCCCACCTTTTGCGTCAATGACGGCTTGGTAACGGCGGTTCATCGAAGAGAGTAAAGCATCAATGGCACTTTGTGGAATCTCCATCCACTTTTTTGCCAAAAGAAAAATCTTATAGACAAAATCTGAGGATTTTTTAGATGGTAAAATACTAATTTTAGAAGATTTTCTACGTTCAGCGCAAGTTTTGGCTTGATAGCTTAAATTAGAAAAAAGTTTTGGTAAAAACAAAGAATAGGCTAAAATTATGTCCGCTACTGTATAACCCCTAGAAGTGGCAGCGCGCCTCGATCGATGCCGTCCATCTCTCACAATACAAAAGGAAATCCTTTCTTCCTCGAATTGTGACAGGAGATGAGAAATGGGTTTTATCTGTGAACTTTCGGAGCAAGCGGCAATAGGTGGGGCCCGGCGAGAAACCCGAAAGTGACCCCAGGCCCGATTTGCACCAGAAGAAGTTTATGCTCTGCGTTTTCTAGGATATGGAGGGAGTGGTGTACTGGGAGTTGCTGGATAGCAAAACGACCGTTAATGCAATCAAATACAGTGAACAGTTGAGAAAGGTGAATGAATCCCTAAAGAAGAATAGGCCCTCCAAGTCAAAGTTGGGATGGTGCTGAAGGACACCGAGTAGTGCTCACTCAAAAACTTGGCACATGAGTTGTATGACTCCAATTCGAAAGCTTTTAGCATGTAAATGTAGCCACGATTCCGGGCTTCAAATCCCTATATAACACCTACTATTTTGAAATAAATTAGACATGCTGCCATAAATTCACTGCTTTTACAAAAAGTTGTGCCAGAACTTTTGAAACACCCTGTAGAAATTATCCAATTTTGAAATGTGTAGTTTATTAGAATCAACCTTACGGTCCTCTCAATCCACAGGATATAAACTAACTAAAAGAAAATTACCGCAAATTTTGGCAGTAACTAGCGCTAGGCATACTACACATAGAATATTAAAAAATCAAAACGCTTTTATGGCTAACAACCGATTTTACGGGCATATGAAAGTCTAAATTTCCCAGCGCTTTTTTCTCATTTCACCTTAACGGCAGCTCAAAATTTGTCGTTGTTTCACGTCATGTCCAAAAATGAAAGAAGTCGGCCCTAAAATGAGGGCGTTGAGACATGACAAAGTCGCAGTCATTTCATAGGCGCCAACCTAATACTTGCTTTTTTTGATTTTATTACATTGGCCCATAAGTCTTGGTAAAACTTTGTTCTTTCGAAATTTGTTTTTGTTTATCCGCTCGAGAAGATGAACTGGATCGCTACCTCGAGGAGGACGCCATTGAAATGGCAATCAGCGCTTACTGTGTTCAGCAGAACGAAATCTTCCCAGCCTTAAATTCTGACTATCTAAATTCGCCGTATTTTCTGTTAAAAACGACTTGATGGAAATGAGCAAAAGAAATGCAAAACAGCTGGAAATATCAATCTCCGATCAGAGAAATTTGTCCAGTTTTTTGGATTGTGAATGGGTGATTAGAAAGAATTAGGCGAAATCTACAAGAATCTTTCAAATTGAATCTTTTTTCAGATGTTTTCTGGCTCATTTCATCACTATTTTCTATTGTTTTCGTTTTTTAATAATTATTAAAGTGTAAATTTTGGGATGGTTACGGAAATATTGAGAGGAATCCACAAGGACAATTTGAGCCATCCCCCTTTCAAAAAGACAAAACAATTCTTTCCGAAATTTTGTCAAAGGATACTTTTCATTACGTTCAATCATCTATATTTTTTTATGAATTTAAGCCTTTTCAGCCTTTTCAGCGCAAAAGAAAGAAAAGGAACTTTAGAGAACTTATCAGCATGATTTAAACTCTTCTGGGGTCATAACCGACTAGTACCAATTTTTGTTTAGATAAAGATGACTTTCAAGAATCTGAGCCACGGAATTTGGTTCTTTTCGCTTCTTTCGACTGCTCATTTATTTCCTATGAATACCAGCAGTGACATATCGTTATGGCCGGAATTCCATGAGGAAAGTTGCAAAGTTTTCGATACTTTGTAGTTTGAGTTTAAAGGGAAGAATTGGTAAAAAAGAGATTAGGAGACGAGCCTGGGGTCAAAAGGATACACCCCAGTGGCTCCCGCTCCAGAGAGTCTCAAAAGAGTATTCAACTTTCAAGTGGCTACGTTCGAAATAGTTAGGGATAAGGAATTGTCTCCCATCTCCGACGATGTGGATTTCTTTTGAATTTCAAAAAAGCCGCGCAGACATATTGTAGCTGTATTGACTTTTCAAGAATAGATTCGAATCACTAATGCCCTAGGCACTCTAGACACCACTGCTTGATTGAGGAATCAAATTCACAAATTATATAAGCAGAATAAGTCGTCCGACTAAGCTCAAAGGCGCTTTCAACGTTTCAGCATTTTTAGATCGCTCCATCTACTCAACAGGTGAATTTTCTACCACTTTTGAAATCTCTGAGTGAATTTTTCCGCATTGGGAATTGTTCAAACGCTTGCGGAAAGTTGATCACTGAGCTAATTAACGGTTAGTTCTTAAACTCAAGCTTCAACGTCCCGAGTGTCCACGAAGTCTCTTGCAAATCACTAAGAAAACCTCTCAATATCATGACAAATGAAAGAAAATTAAGGAAAAGCTGCGTCCAGTCACTGCGTGTGCACCCGATTCTCCGACGAAACTGATGACAAACTTAGCGGAGATTTTGTGGAGACTGCGACTGGTATTTACTTTGGGAGGGGCGAAGAGCATATCAGAGATATCTGGACAAATGGTCCGACAAGCTAAACTTCAAGACAAGCTAAACTTCAAGACAAGCTAAACTTGAATAAAGAACTTCAAAGGACAGTAATTCACTCAATGTTTTTTTTACGGCACTTTTCGAGATCAAGAAAAAAAGACACTTCGGGCTGTTAGTTGTTTGTTCGCTTTGATTTGCCAAATATGAGTACTTCAGCTTCCAAAACTATTTATCGAATCGATGCTTAGAGAAAAATCTCACTCTTTAAAAGAATATCTCGTTCTCTTTATGAAAAAGCAATCAATCAACAAGCAAAATGAGGTAAAAGCCTTTAATGTGTTATTTTGAGCAATTAACTAGGTGTTTCCAAATGTATTGGTTTCAGAAAATGTTTAATTTATCCACAAATGAACAAAAGTGGGCAACAACATCGATTGTTCATCAGTTTTTGGTGATTTGACACGCTGAATTCATCCATTTGTGAGCGAGGCATCCCTTCTCCACGCAGCAGCTACATTCCCTAGGTGGAGGGGCACACTGGCAATTAGCGGCCGACTCGATTGATGCCAAAGTAGCGATGACAGCTTTCATCGTTTTGCTCACATGAAGGCGGCTAAACTTGGGGCGCAATCAGTGTCAAACTAAATTCCTTCTTGAACATGGTATCCATGGGTGTCCTCGGCAAAGTCTTGGCACTAAATAATATTGTAAATGATAAATAATAATAAATAATAACGAACTATGGAGAAGTCGATAAGCCTAACTTCACTATAGCGAAACTCGGCCAAGACTCTGCCGAGGGCACCCATGGATACCATGTTCATGAAGGAATTTAGTTTGACACTGACGCTCCCAACTTTGACTTTGACTGCTTTCATGTGCACGCAACGATGCAAGTTGTCATCGATACTTTGACATCAATCGAATCGGCCGCTAATTGCCAGTGTGCCCTTCCACCTGGGGAAGGTCGCTGTTGCGTGGCAAATGAATGCCTCGTTTACAAATGGATGAATTCAGCATGTCAAATTACCAAAAACTCGTGGAAAGACCCTTTCGTTGCCGATTTTTGTTTCATTGTGGATCAATTAAGGTTTTGCTGAAATAAATACGTTTGGAAACCCCTAATTAATTGCTCAAATTAACATATAAAAAGCTTTAACGTTATTTTTGTGATCACTTGCCGGTATTGAGCAAGTACGCCCTAAAAAGGAATAGTAAATCTCGTCCTACATAAAAAAACTTTATCGGATCCAAAAGAACGTCAAGCAAAAATAATTCTGCACTCGGAACCGAACCCGGAACCGATTTACATCTTTTTCCAACAGAAAACTCGCATCGTGACGAGAAATCGTGGTAACAGACACACAGACAACTTTTCAAAATTATAATATAGTAGATAGATAGAAAAGGCTTTCTCGTGAGACACAACCCATTAATCTAAGATATCGGTCATTACAAATGTTCTAACCTCATAGAAGAGATTTAGCTTTTAAGAGTTCAAACTCGGAAAAAATTGCTGCCTTGTCTTGTTCTTCACAAGTTGTTTTTAACTTAAATATTTATTAGTTCTTGGGTGCCCTTGTTGTTGATGATGGTGGAGGAATGGTAATGTTTCCTCGCCAGAAATGAACGACCCATGCCATACCCATCAGCGTTCCAGAAAGCTCACCATCAGCTTTGTCGGAGAATCGGGTGCACAAGCAGTGACTGGACACAGCTTTCCCTTAATTCTCTGTCATTTTTCATGGTATTGGGAAATTTTGGTAGTGATTTGCAAGAAACACTAGGGGCGCTGAGGCTCGAATTTGAGAACTGACCGCTAATGAGTTGAGTAATCGACATTTCGCAAGCCTTTGAACAATTCCCACTTCGGAAATATTCAGTAAGAAGTTTCAGAATTTCGAGAAAATTGACTTGTTGAGGAGATGGGGCGATCTAAAAATGCTGAAACGTTGAAAGCGCCTTTGAGCTTAGTCGGACGACTTATTCTGCTTATATAATTTGTGAATTTGATTCCTCAATCAAGCAGTGGTGTCTAGAGTGCCTAGGGCATTAGTGATTCGAATCTATTCTTGAAAAGTCAATACAGCCACAATATGCCTCGTCTACGTCTGTCTACTGAAATTCAAAAAATTCACATGAGCGATGGGAGACAATTCCTGATCCCCAGCTATTTCTAGCTTAGCCACTTGAAAGTTGAATACTCTTTTGAAACTCTCTGGAGCGGGAGCCACTGAGGTGTATCCTTTTGACCTCAGGCTCGTCTCCTAATCCCTTTTTTATCAATTCTTCCCTTTAAATTCAAACTACACCAAAAGAATCGAAAACTTTGCAACTTTCATCATAGGCTTCCCACGATAGGTCAGTGTCGGTATTCATGGCAAATAAATGAGCAGTGGAAAGAAGCGAAAAGAACCAAATTCCGTGACTGAGATGCTTGAAAGTCATCTTTATCTAAACAAAAATTGATAATAGTCGGTTATGACCCCACAAGGGTTTAAATCATGCATCAAGTCGGTTATATCCCACAAATTAGTTCATTTTGTGGGGATATAACCGATAAGTACTCTAAATTTCCTTTTCTTTATTTTGCTCAATCGTTTTCACCTATCTAATTTCAAATTTAGCCATTTTCTTCTAAAACTTCATGTTTTATGCATTAAATGACGAGATACCCCATAAACAAAAGGATATTTTCAACTTTTGAAGAAAAGAATTTCAAATTTGGATTTCGGAAACGCTGAAAAGGCCTGAATTCATAAAATAATATATATGATTGAACGTAATGAAAAGTGTCCTTTAACAAAATCTCGGAAAGAATTGTTTTGTCTTTTTGAAAGGGGATGGCTCAAATTGTTTTCCTTGTCGATTCCTCTCAATATTTCCCCAACCATCCCAAAAATGTACGCTTTAATAATTATTAAAAAACGAAAACAATAGAAAATAGTGATGAAATGAGCCAGAAAAATTCTAAAAAAAGATTCAATTTTAAGGGTTCTTGTAGATTTCGATTCAGTTTTTCCGCACGTGATTTCGTTGTCATTGTCGTTGTCGTTGTTGTCACGAGATTCTTGTAGATTTCGCCAATTTCTTTTTAATCGCACATTCACAAGCCAAAAAACTGAACAAACTTCTCTGATTTAAGATTGATATTTCCAGCTGCTTTGCATTTCTTTTGCTCATTCCCTTCAAGTCGTTTTTAACAGAAAATACGAAGAATTTAGGTAGTCAGATTGTAAAGAGCTGGGAAGATTTTGTTGTGCTGAACCCAGTAAGCGCTGATTGCCATTTCAATGGCGTTCTCCTCGAGGTAGCGATCCAGTTCATCTTCTCGAGCGCATAAACATAAACAAACAAAACAAATTTCGAAAGAGCAAAGTGTAAGCAAGACTTATGGGCCAATGTAATAAAATCCAGAAAGCAATTATTAGGTTGGCGCCTATGAAATGACTGCGACTTTTTCATGTCTCAACGCCCTCATTTTAGGGCCGACTTCTTTCATTTTTTTGACAGTGGTTGCCAGAGACCTAACGTGAAACAACGACAAATTTTGAGCTGATGTTAAGGTGAAATGAGAAAAAAGCGCTGGGAAATCTAGACTTTCAGATGCCCGTAAAATCGGTTGTTAGCCATAAAAGCGTTTTGATTTTTTAATATTGTATGTGTAGTATGTCTGGCGCTAGTGACTACCAAAATTTGGGGTAATTTTCTGGCAAGACAACGGAGGTTCAACTTTTGAAGTTACCCGAAACTTGGGTAATTAAACCGGGTGTCTGGTTCAGTGTGGCAGATGGCAATTTTTGGATTTACTCAAAAGTGAATAACCGATTGTGTAGTCCAAAATCCTCAGAATCTTTTTGTTGACATCAAAACAAGGTACACCACTCCGAGAGAGTTCTTTTCAAAAATGGAATTTTCCTGCTGGGATTTGCATCGTTCCCGCTCCATGCATTGTCCTAACCGACGCCATCTGCTATAACATGGCCGTCTCGGGGAGTTGTTTCACCAATAAAACGCTGGTAGGATTTTGTCTTGTGCGTAGCTAGCTTCCTTTCTTAATATTTTGATTTTGGGTAATTAAGCCTTAGATGACAAAGTCATGAGTGAAATTGTTAATGAAAAATTGGAAATGTCAAGTAATCGGAGGGGCTTTATACCGTAAATACTGTAATCGACCTCACTGAAATGAAAAATCGTTGATTTCTCGAGAACTGTAAGAGATAATCGATGTGCGGTCGAGAATTGAAGCTATCTGATACTTCCATCCTGCCGTTTGAAGCTATTAGAAATTCTATCGGATGAACAAAGTTCTATAGCTCTCAGAGGTCAAGGATGGAATTTATTGCTGGCAACAAAATGAGCCCCGCCCAGGAAATCAATTCTTTTTTTGATAAAGTTTTGTCTCTAGAGTAACATTAGACTAATATCAAAATTTCTGGAAATAGACCTTTTTGTAGCAACTTTTTGTTTGCGAGTGCTCTTGAGGGCTGAACTGAGAAGTTGACGGTGATTTTGTGAATTTTTAGCCACTTCCAAGGTGAAAATCTTCTCATCCGACCAGAGAATGCGCCGCCCCTTGAAAAAAGCTCGCAATTTCTTGCATTTCTCCTTTCGGTTTTGCTTGGCTTGATCGGTGAGCACTTGTCCGTTTAACAATCGATAACTTCGAAGTCCGAGCGCATTTTTCACTCTCGATTGAACCGAGAAACGCAAAAGTTGAACCTGTTTTGCCATCTTGTTCAAGTTAAGATCGTCTTTTTGCTCGATCCTCCTCTTGATGATCCCACGCATCTTTCGGGTGTTAACGGTCCTCTTTCGTCCTCTTCCGGGCTTGGACTGAACATGTCCCTCCTCTTTCCATTGCTTTACGATCTTCTGGACGGTCCTCAGAGCCACCGCAAACCTTGATGCGATCGACGAGTTCTTTATGCCGCTCGTCGCCAGCTGAGCGATTGCGTCCTGACTAGCGCACGTCTTTGTCATGGCCTAGAAATTAATTTTTTTTCACGAAAAATTAATAGACAATGATAAAAAGAATATCAAAACACAAAAAGATGAGTATTAATAATTCATACATTGTTTAAAACTATGCCATATGCATAATTTTCAGCTACCCTGTATGTCTCCGATCTATCTAAATAACTCTTAGCAAATTAAGGAAACTAAAAAACACAAACACGAAACGCTGAATAGGTAATGAAAAAAGGTTTTAAACCGATGCCCATTTAAAGGTCGGGCGACGACCAACCGAACCGATTGATCCAAAGGTTGAAAGATCGGCAGACCGATACTTGATCCGACGACCCTTACTAGGAATCGTTGTTCATTTACCACCGAGTTTCGAAGCGGGACCTAGCCTATTTTGTCACAAATTTTTCGCTGATTGTCTAGCTTGTGTGTCATCGGTTCAAACTTTCGACCTAAATCCGTTTGAAGTTTATGTGTAAAAAAGCAGTTTTTGCGTGTTGCACTATTTATCTGACCGTGCGAGTACCAAGCGATCTGGCGCTCTTAGAAAATATATAATCATGGCCAAGTGGAAAGTGAGCTGAGCCCTCAACTACCTGGCACTGGTTCGAGTCCGGACTTTGGTTTTGCTTTTGCTTTGCAACTTACAAAACTTTGATTAAAAAAACTTGAATATTCACCGCAGGCTATATTCACGTAAACACTGATTTATGCAACTTTATATAGTTGAAGTTTGGACAATTTAGATAAAAGGTTATGCCAAAAGTCGCACGATTACGTGCTCCGGCCGGGAATCTTAACGATTGACGTGGAATCCTCAAAACGATATATATAGGGAAGAGATTTGCTTAATATAAAGTCCAAAACAAAGTTACAACAAGAATAAAACTTTTGAAAATCGCTTTTGCAAAGAGGAAAGCTTCTGCTCAACACCGGGCTCAAACCAGGCCGAACAAGTTGATTGCCTAGGGGACGACCACTAGGCCACGAAGACATATCTTCGGGAGACGCAAAGCCACTTCCTACTCGGGCGATCAGATAAATACACTGTGGTGCAAAAGTCCTGTCCCATTTACTTTTCTGAAACATTTTGTCAAAATTCTAAAATTTTCCGAAAACAACTTTTTAAGTAAAGGGGTTTTTCTGAACCCTAAGTTGTAAGCTTTCATATAAACAAGTTTTTAGATTTAAAAAATTTATTACCTGAAAGAAAATGACAAATAAAGTTTAACATCAAAAAATATATGGTGCAAAAGTCTTGTCCCACCATTAAAAAAGGAAAGCGAGATTAATATTTGGTCGGTCCTCCTTTAGCCAAAATCACTGCTTCAATAGGTTGAGGCATTGAGTCGACCAAATCACGTAGAACTCCCGAAGAAATTTGTCGCCAAACGTTTCTGATAAAGAACCAAAGCTCGACCTTTGTGTTGAATATCTTGCCCCTGAGTTTAGTCTTTAAATGGGCCCAAAGATGCTCTATAACAGTCAAATCCGGCGAATAAGGAGGCACTTTGATCAATTTTTGCACGATAAGCAGCAAAAACGCCAGTTAGGCGAGCTCTTCCTCCATTTGCAAGTCAAACAACTTGGGCCATCATTAGTTGGCTTTTGTGGCATCGAGCGTTGTGTTGTCTTGATATAAGGCCCATCCTTCTGGCAAGTTCGTGTTTGCAAATGGAAGTAAGTTGTTCTCTATGATTGACTTGTACCTTTGAGCATCGAGATTTCCATTGATAAACACTAGCGGTCCCGATACACTTCGATTCATCGAGCCTAAAAAAAACAAATCGTAAATGAAAAATAGAGCGAACACTTACCCCACAACATAATGCTCCCACCACCGAATTTTACCGTTGGCTTGACGTATTAGAGCTGATAACGTT